AGGAGGAGAAGTGCAGAGCCAGACCTCTCTGAATTCCAGAAGAGCATTCTAAGTAACCTGAGTAAACCTCAAGACTACGATGAACTCTATTTCATGAGTCTCGTTGGAACATTTAAGAGACTTCCTCCGCAGAGAAAAGCAGAAGTGCGAATGAAAATCGAGCAAGTTCTTTATGAAGCTGAGTTTGAGTGAGGTGTGTGTGTGTGTGTGTGTGTGTGTGTGTGGTGGTGGTGGGGGGGTGGGGGGGGGGGTTAGTCAGTGGAGACAGAGGTGATTGTCTATTACATTATTGTTATTGATATGTTATTGTTATTTTTATTTACTTTTTTTGTTCATTGTTTAACTAAAACGTGTATTTTTACAATGTTGATTAATACATGTGAATGTTTCTAAAACAATTGAACTGATCAATAAATTAATTAATTAGAAAATGAGGCAAGTTGTATTAAAATGTAATTATTTTATTAAGTAGATTAGTTTATTCTTTGGTTATTCACTTATTCTTTGTTATAATGTAACATCAAATAATGTTCTCCTGCCATGGGACTGCACCCTCGGTAGATGAGAAATACTGGGTAAATTTCTCTCTGATGGTTATAGCTTCGCGAGACGAGTTGTTGCTGCTCATCCTGTGGAGATCTCCCATTGCCCTTGGAGTGGAGTCAGGTTCTGATGACAGGGCTTGTGGATGATCCTCTGCCTGATCTACCCTCAGAAGGTTGTGGAGGATGCAGGTAGCCTTAACAGCTTTCTCTGCCATTTCTGGGGTCACTCCTAGCACTCTTCTGTACAGCCGCCATTGTGCCGCTAGGATTCCAAATGAGCACTCCACCATTCGCCTGGCCCGGGAAAGCCTGTAGTTGTACAGCCTTTTCTCTCTCCCAATGTTCTGGCCAGGATGTGGACGCATCATGTGGCGTCTGAGGGGAAAGGCTTCATCCGCAACGAACACATGTGGCATAGGCCCCAGATGCTCTGCACCAGGGAGAGGTTTGTCCTCTGGTATGCCAAGGCTGCCCTGACAGAGAGCTCTTCCAAATGCTGAAACAGCCAATGTACCACCATCACTACTTCGGCCATAAGCTCCAACATCCACCACCTGGAAGCGATACCGAGCATCAACAACAGCAAGGAGAATAATTGAGAAGGAGCCTTTGTAGTTAAAATAAAGGGAACCGCTGGACGCAGGGGCCTGAATCACTATGTGCTTGCCATCTACTGCCCCAACACAGTTAGGGAAATTCCACATCTGCTGGAAATCAGCTGCGATTTCTCGCCAGCGTTCCCTGTAAGGTGGTGGCATGTATTCTTCCACAAGGTTGTCCCATATGGCTTCACACACATCTTTTACGATGCCTGCAACTGTAGAATGACCCACGCGATAACTGAAGGCGATGGTCTTAAATGAATCCCCAGTTGCAAGATATCTGTAACAAATGTACATTTATATTTAGTGTGTGTAAAGTATGTATAAAAATACCACAATTAAGTTATTCATAAATAAAGTCATTTACGAATACTAGTAGACCTAATGCCTATGTCAAAGCATGACTGGCCTAAGACATGAAACGAGGGGTTATCAATGTGTATAAATGCAACGTGTATCAATGCAACGAGCGCAGACATGCTCTTTGAGGTGGTGACCATAGACCTGCATTATATGACTGACAGACAAGAACGCTTTGACCTAAAAATATCAAAATTGAAAATACTGTGAAAACAAAGACACCTACATCTTGGATGCCCTTGAGGTAAACTAAAACATACCAAAAATTAATTTCAAAGTGAACTATCCCTTTTACTGATAGAAATTACATATATTTAAGAGTAACTTACTCAACTCTGCTTGTACTGAAATGAAATACTTCTTTCACCACTGTGATGTCATGCTTTGACATAGGCATTAGGTCTACTAGTATTCGTAAATGACTTTATATATGAATAACTTAATTGTGGTATTTTTATACATATGGACAACGCTGTAAACTGCTGCACTACTAGTAAAAAATATATTTACTAAAAATATGAATGCTCACAACTGATTTCTTGTTAAATCCATCATTGTTTATAACGAATTGTTCTATATTCTATATATAAATGTGTATGTTTGCTATTTCTGGTGTTTTATGACCACTTCAGTTATATCTAACCTCAGACAAATGCAGAGCCGTTGGGCAGGAGAGATGGTTTCACGGCAGAAGCTCTGTTTACCAATGCTTGGGCCAACTTTTCTTAAAATATAATCAAACTGGTCCTTGTCCACTCTGAAATAGGCTTTGAACCTCCCATTGTCCAGGCGGAGTTCCTGAATCAGATGGTGAAATTCCCCATGGTTCTTGCGTTTCTGTAGTATAGGGTGCACCCAAACACTGCGTTTTTTACTTTTCTGAGTAAATAAGTCTTGTAACAGGGTTACAGCAAGGGTTTTTCGGTGGTGGAAATCCATTGCTGAAATTTCTTTCATGTAACGGAGAGAGCAGCTGATGGTTGCTTAGCAACGACAGACGCCTCCGGAGCGCAACCGCCCTAGCGCTTCTTTGGAAAAAAGAAAACGCGTGCGCCTAGCGTTTTCTACGCGTTTTTAGGCGCGATATGTGAACGGGCCCTTAATGTGCGCTTTGTGGTCACGGAAAACACGCGTCAGAAACACGTGGTTTTTGCATCAAAACGTGCGTCCTGGACGTCTGCTATTTAAATGAGATTGTTTCTGTCTGCAGGTGTTTTATGCATCAGAAGTGTTTTTGTAACAAGAAAAGAAAAACAACTCTCGGTTTCACGTTCACTGTTTTTTTTATTTCAGCACCTCGGACAGACCCCTAATCGCTTCGTTCGAGACACATCTCGCAAATTTTCCAGTTGTAATTCTGGTAACACTTTACAATAAGGTTTCATACGTTATTTTTTATTATTTTTTTATGCAAAAACCACGAGATTCTGACGCGCGTTTTCCGTGACAACAAAGTGCACGTTAAGAACGCGCGCTTTTATGACAAATCGCGCGTCCCGCTTGCTTTTGACGGGTCAGTTTGCAATCAGACGCCTGACCAGGCGTTTATGAACACTTTTGCTTGCCATACGCAAGTGGTGCAGGCTGCAGCGCGCTCGTTTTTCTATGCCGCGACGAGATGAAAACATCTCAACTTTTCAGAGAGTGCCGCAAGCGTGTCATGTGATGTGACAAAAACCAACCGTTCAGCTTCGGCCGTATTCAGTTTCCGAAACAACTTCGAAAGCTCGGCCAAACAGCTGATCATAGCTGTACAGTGCGGTTTTTATTTCTCATCGCCATAACTATCTAGTAGCTAATACAAAATCTAGAAACCCTAGATTCAGGCCCACCTCGACTTAATCCAGGCCCACCCATCTGTCACGTTCTGCATCCGCCACTGAGCTAAAACATATCAAAAATTAATTTCAAAGTGAACTATCCCTTTAACTAAGGGGTTGACATCACAAAATAGGCTAATACATGAATGAACCTCATCGATTATGGTCTAGTGACTCTAACATCATAACATGGCTTAACGTTACTTACGCTGAACAGTTTCTCTGGCAACTGAAGATGCCGGCGACTCAGGCTGAGGAACTGCAGTGGGCCGAGGGTTTGACACTTGCTGCTGCTGGACAGTATGGTTTGTGTTGTTCTCAACCTCCTTTCGTTCCAATGCTGCAGCGGCTTCCCGCAAAAGCTGACTAACAGATTTCGCCATGACTTCGTATCGCGTATCACACTCACTCAATCACCCTCATTCACACGGGACGTCGACGACGTTGCTTTATGGAAGGCGTGTCTGTAGCACCGTAACTTGAATAAGCTCCACCCACTCATTAACATATAATTTGCATACAGGTTGTCTTTGAAAATGAAAACGAAAACTAAAACTGTGAAATAAAAGAGTAAATAAAATGACAACTAAACTTTACATTTGAACTTGAATTGTCACTATTATTGCGTGAGTGTTAATAAAAAGCTTTGTAAAAACTGCATTTGCAGTTTCTTTTGCACGTTTGCCTTTTCATTTTAGTATTGGCAGTCTTGCCTCGAGATTGTAGTGAAAATGAAACGTGAAATCACCAATTGCATTTTATTTTTCAATTTGACAGGGATGATGCACTGTCATGGTGAAAATGAAAATGAAATAATTTAATTTCATTATCAATTTTGTCACATATCTTGCGTACAGTTTTCTATAATGAAATGGTTAAACTGGTTTTAGTTTTCATTTTTAACATTTAATTGATTTATTTAATTTTGGCAGAAATTGACTTCCATATTTTTTAACTCGATTGACAAATGGATAAAGAAAAGCATTTGGCAAATAGATAGAGAAATGGTTTGCCAAATGCTTTAAAAAAAAGCGATTTAACATGTGCCTTTAAAACGATTTATTAAAGAACTTTTTATTGTTTCATTAATCTACGTTTAAAAACATGAATTAAATAAACAATTTTAAATCTGTCTATTTATTTACACATTTAAAATGTTTTTATTTATTTATTGTTATATGGTTTTATTGCAATACATTTAAAAACACGAATTAAATAAACAACTTTAAAAATGTCTATTAATTTGTCCATTTAAAAGTGATTTATTTATATACATTTTATGTTTGAATTATTAAATTGATATATTGAATCTTCATTTTATTTTTAAGTGGCATTCCTGGTCCTCCATATACCCCTAGTGGTGATTAAACAAATAAAACAATTCTATGGAAATGACTGAATGTGTGAAATGTTCTAATATTAATATTGCAATTTTATATATTTTTAGGTGTTTTATAGATCAGGTAAAAGATATGAACATAGTTTGGAAGGATTATAAACATTTTATTGAAAAACAACTATCATCCTGAACATTCATAAACTGAACTGCCACTGAGACGTGCAGTAACCCTGTGAAAAACAGCTGAGCTGGTGAAGAAAAAAACACAGTGCAGGTATTTATAGATAGAAGAAACAGCAGTTCACCCCTTCATCGTTCCTAAAAAAAGCCCTTAGCTCTCAGTATCTGATCTCAGGCTCATTACTTCAGCGGTTCTTCATCTCGAACGGTCTCCTGCTCCTGGTTCTGCTCCTCCAGATCGGCTACTCTGGTCTTGAGCTCTACCAGATCGGCTACTCTGGTCTTGAGCTCTGCTAGATCGACTACTCTGGTCTTGAGCTCTCCCAGATCGGCTACACTGGTCTTGAGCTCCTCCAGATCGGCTACTCTGGTCTTGATCTCCCCCAGCCGGCTCCTCATCTCCTCCAGATGGGCACTGAGCGCCTCCTCCGTGGTCCTGCAGCCGGCTAGCGAGTCCTCGTGTGTTTTCTGCCTGGTCTCGAGGGCGTCCCGGCTCTCCTCCGTGGCCCTCAGTCGCTCCTCCAGCCCGTGTCTCCGCTCCTGCAGCTCCTCCTTCAGCTCGGCCCTCAGACTCTGGGTCTCGGCGCTGGCCTGGCTCTGCCGCTCGCTCAGACCCTGGAGCCGGTCGCTCGCGGCCTGGATGCCGGCTCTCGCTGCGCTAACCTCCTCGCGCAGGCTCCCCACGGCGCTCTGCACTAGCGTCCTCACGGCGCCCAGCTCCTCCGACAACGACGCCACCTCCCCGTTCCTCGTCTGCAGCTCGGAGCCCACCGACGCGATCTGCTCGCGCAGCACCGCCACGTTCCCCGCGCACACCTCGCTAGCGGTGTTGAGGTTAGCCACGGCGCTGCTGACGGACGTTAGCTCCTGCGCGAGGAGCGCCGGCGCCTCCGCCTCCTCCAGACGGGCTCTGAGCTCCAGGATCTCGCGGTTAAACCCGGCTGTGCTCTCCTCCGCGTTCTGGCTCATGCGCTGCTCCAGCGAGGACACGTCCCGCTCCCGCTCCTCCTTCAGCTCGCGGATGCTCTCCGCTAGGTCCCGCAGGAGCTGCTTCTGGAGCTTCGGGAGCGCCTCCTCCACGCGCCGGGCGTCGGCCTCGCTCTTCTGCAGCGCGCGGCTGGTGCTCTCCTGCTGAGTCCTGGCACTGGCCACCGCGCTCTCCACACCCTCCAGGGACGCCTGCATGGACCTGATCTGGAGACAGACGAGAGCACACGCTTAGGCTTCGACTCAGGATTAAAGTCCCCCCCCCATAGTCAAACATTATATCCCTTAAAACCAAGCGGAAACCTTCCGGTCTCTCTCTTGAAACCTTAACTTTATTATCACTGTAAAGCTGCTTTGAAACCATCTATATTGTTAAAAGCGCTATATAAATGAATGTGACTTGACTTGAAACCAACACTGAAGTGAGTTAAACTGCAGTTCCTCCACTGGCCACTAGAGGCCGGCTGCAGAAGAGAGTCAATCCCACAGACCCGGATGTTAAAATGCCTAACTTTACAGCAGAATAAAATATGTTTGGTGCAAAAAGTGGTTTTGGTCTATAGAGCTAATTTTGCCCTTCATGTCGACTGTTTTTTTTTTTTTTACTCATCCGTTTAAATTATATTAAGCCTTAAAGTTCTGCATAATTAAGGGCGTGGCCACTTGAGTGACAGGTGGATTGCCGCTGATGTCACTGCTAGCCGTTTGTCTGCTGTGTGTTAGCGTCACGTCACCTCGGCTAATCCGCCTCTTTAAACTTGTTCGTTTATCCGGGAGACGCCACCAAAATGGCGACCGCCGGCTCCGCCCACTTTGGGCTTCAAAATCGATCTTCAGAAACACTACACGTGACGTCACACACACTACAAACATATGTTTTACAGTCTATGCTTAAAACTCATCTTTATCACCAAAATTACATATTTAAACGTTTTTTTCCTTGGAAGAGGCCTTCAAGATCTAGAACATCAGTTCTACAGAGAACTCTAGGGTTCTCGACTCAGATCTATCCCTCTTCCTCCCCTCGCACTTTATACTACAAATTATTGTTTTAATCTGTTTGTTTTCCCAGGGAGTATCTTTACCAATAGGCATTAGTGGTTTAGGTGTGCATGTGCAGGTGTTAAAGGTGTTAGCCAACGGTAGGTTGGGTTGGTGGATTTAGAGAAAAGCCTCTCTAGAGACCAGAGATGCAAATCATCATTTGCATCTCATACAATATTCTCTATGCACCACCCATGTTTTGGCTGAATTTTTGTTTTTGTTTGTTTTTCTATTCAAATAAACCAATAAGTAAATAAAAACAATGAATTTGTGAGTTTTCAACACTCTTCAGGCTGATCTGAGTTCAGTCACAGTGAGAGTCTCTAGAGCACTTTCCCCCAGGCCAGAGGAACCTGACGAACCTGATCGAGCGCCACACACACACACACACACACACACACACACACACACACACACTCGAGAACAGCTCTATTATTACAGGTGTGGATGAGGATGAGACAAATGCCTAGTCTTCTTTAAATCAAACACTCTCTGATCCACTTCCTGTTGTGTTGGACACTACAAGCCATTTAGGCTGCTCTGTCAGCCAATCACAGTTGACCACGTCATCCTCAAATAAACTGTCTTTCTCTTGTGTGATCAATCAGAAGACACAGTTCTGTCTGTCTGTGTGTGTGTGTGGATTAACTCCCGTCCGTCCACACTAACAGCAGCTAGTGTGTGTGTGTGTGTGATTAAGACTCAAGCTCTTCTACTAGACCACATCTGAATCTGACTGATCAAGTTTATTCAGTTCAGTCAGTGCAGTGTTGCTCCAGCTAACAGGGAACATTCTCTCAACGTTACGAAAAACGTTCTTCCAGTAACGCTCATAGAACGTTTGTTCAAAGTTAATAATGTTAACATTATCATTCATGGAGATTTTGTCTGAAACGTTTAGTTGGACGTCCATTTAACGTGTTTTAAATGTTTCAGAGCATTCAAAAGTAACATTCCATAACGTTTGCGGAATGATACAATGGAATGTTCCATTAACGTTTAGTTTTGTTCATCCAGTAACTCTAATAGAGCGTTTGTTCAAAGGTATCTGTTCCTTAATAATGTTCTAGTGGACACATTAGCCTATAGCACCATTCATGGAGCTTTTTTTTTTGGCTACTTGTTTCAGAACGTTCAGAGAACATTCAAAAGTAACATTCCATAACTTTTAACCGAATGATCAAATGGAATGTTCCTTTAACGTTCGCGTAACCAAGAAAAATAGTTAATGAGAACATCAAAAATAACCTTTTTATAACTTAATAGCAATCCAATCGCTCTTAGAGCATACTTTTGTTTGCTGGGACTGTGTGTGTGTTGTTTCCCCAACAGGAACGCGAATTGATGAAGTCCGGTACTAACCTGTGTGAGTGCGTGCTCCACCTCGCGCGCCGCCGCCGCGCACTTCATCGCGGACTCCTCGTGCCTGACGCTCGCGTGTTTGATCTCCGACAGCTCGCGCTGGAAGTGCACGGCCGCTAACACGACTCCGGCCGCGAGCGCCAGGGAAAACAACGCGCACACACACTTCATCACCATCATCAGCGCGTCGGACCCGGAGCCGCGGCTCGCGAGCGGCGCGTTCTCCGCTTTCACCGCGACTTTACTCGGGGTTTTCCTCGGCGCGTCATGCTCAGGCTGCTGGCTCGCGACGGCTCTGTCGCTGCTGGAGTTCGAGTTCGAGCTGTTCTTGCTTCTGTTCCTCGCGGTCATCGTTCCGTGTGTCCAGCGGTCTGTGACGTCACCGAGCGTCGCGTTGCGTCCGCGCGGGATCTGCTCTCATTCCTTCACTCACTTGATAAGTTTGCTGAACTCTCCCAGCCGATGCGTTCCCACTCGATTGTACGACGCGAACGCTCACTGTAACCCCAGTGCTGCTGCTGCTGCTGATGATGATGATGAAGGCTGTCGTGTCGTGCTGTCGTTTGCTCCACCCTTCTTCAGACGTGGCACTGATTTTCCTCAAACATCTGCATCCTCCCATCATTACGGGTTTAACGTTAAACGCCATGCAATTCATGTTTCAGGATTCTTTTATGCATAGAAAGTTCAAAAGAATACACAATAAAAACTATTTATTTGATATAGAAAACTTTTTTAATGAAACCGTTGATTTTTGGTCATTTTCGATTATAATCATATTGTAGCATTTCTCCCAAACAGAATCAGGATTAGAAAACAATCCAAAAACACAAGCACGAATCAGTAAACTGCATGCGCTTTTAACAGCAACTCATCAACATTATTTAAGCAATTTCAACTTACAATTTCAACGAGATCCAACTTAATTTAACGTAAGCCGGTCTAATAATTTAAGTTGAAATGACTTGTACAGCCAGTTTTATTACAAATTAACGTTGTAGTTGAAATAGTTGGGTTATTTTACTCTTTAGCATATAAAATAAGTTATTAAACAAAACAGTTATGCAAACACTGAAACATGATTTAATTTCTAAAATTTGTGCTTTTTTGTGGATTTTTTATTATTTATATAACGAAGGTATTTAAGAAGTGAGATAAATTCAGTGTCAAAATAAGGATAGGGCAGAATACCATTTGCAAACATTTCTTTATGAATGAAGAATTTGCCATATAAAAAAAAAAAAAATTAACAATGTACTCTAGGGGTTTATTTCTATCGTCATTATAATAAAACATAATGTCTTTTAAACTGAATGTGTCAAAACTTGCAGAATCAAATATGTAAGAGCGTTGTATTATTTATTATTTAAATATTACTTTCAAGTGACGTTAATGGCGTCCCCGTCGCTCCTGTCCAATCAGAGGCTCCGCCGTGACGCTGTGCCACGCCCCCTCCCTTCTGCACGCGCGAGCGGGAGTCAGGGAGTGAGTGATGCGCGTTGCCACTGCTGCTAATATTGAACACAATCGGCCAGAATGAGTGAAGACGAGCGCATTATCAACAGGTGGTTTTTCGACGTCTGCGTGTTCAAGGCGCTCGAGAGTTTCAGAAATGGAGACTACACGGATTTCGCGAAAATCACCAACGTTATCGAGAGTAAGTGGCGCGAGCGCCGAGTTTGTTTACATCGGCGCGCGCATGTTAGCTTTAGCGCGGAGCTAAAAACACAAACTCCGTCCGAAGTCTGTGAAAGTCCTTTTTTTTTTACAATGACAAATTATTTAATGGAATAAATGTAGTGCTTTGGAATACAGACTTAAGGTTGATCTCTCTTTAAAAAAGCACTCATGAAAGTTTAACAGATTTCTAGAAGTTTGAGTTTACTGTAAAGCGAATGTGCTGTACTAAAGTTGTTTATTCTGTACAAAAACAAAACAATTTGGACAATATTACCATCACAGATATGGATCCTCGAGTCTTCCCAACACTATGTGCTGTGTCAAGATTAGAAACGATATAGTGCAGTGAATTTTGTAATGTGAAATTATATGTTTTCACAGGATGAATATTAAGTGTGTGTAGAGCTGATATGTGTGATGCTGCTCATTTTTATTGTGCACAAAAATTAAGTGATTTTGACCATATTATGATCACAGATTTGGATCCTCCACTGTGTGTTGTGTCAATATTAGATGGTGAATTTTGTAATATGAAACTGGATTGATGTTGAGTGTGTGTGATGCCGGTCATTAATACACATGTCACGTGGTGTTGTCAGGTATGGTGGTGCTGCCCATGGACGGGCGCGGAGACACGGTCCTCAAGCTGCGCTGCATGCAGTTCCTGTCCAGGGTCAACAACGGGGACAAGCTGGGTGAGTGTGTGTGTGTGTGTGTCTCTGATGTGTGTTTCTGGTGCTGACGTGTGTGTGCCTCAGATCTGACGTTCGAGGAGCCGAAGACGCCGCTGGAGTCGGCTCTGGCCGTCCTGGATTCGCTGTGCCGAGAGCTGGACGTCCCGCAGCGAGAGCAGCAGCGCGTGCACAACGCCATCACCGAGATGGTGAGAACGACACACACACACACACACGCCTGTAGTGCAATACACCAATCTCAGATATCCTACACTACTGTGTTTTTAAGCCGTTCGAGCTCAGCTGAATGCGAAAGAGGTCACGCACCAACGTCTACTCTCATGCATGTGTCGCGACACTCTCATGAACGTGTGCTGGAGATTAATATTCTGTAAATAAAGTGGCACATTATGTTGTGCAAACAAAGCACTCGCGTAACTTCATAAAAATGCCCTGGAGTCACATGGATTACTTTATGCCTTTGTGGGGTCTGAAAGTGGTCGTTGCGTAGCCTGTCAATGGAGGGACAGATATAGCTAGTTCATGCGCGTGGGCTTGGTGTGTTCCAGGCTTTACTGTACATTAGGCAAGTGTTAGTTTTGTAACAACCTTATTGCCAGCAAACATAACATCATATTGATATCTTGAAATAACATTATTTCGCTTCTTTGAGCTCTTAAATACGGGATCATGCATGATTACAGCAAGCCTCAGTCGTCTGTTTCTCTGAAGCGATCAGTGACGTGTGTGTGTGTGTGTGTGTGCAGCTCATAGTGGTGTGCATCAGGAGTGGGGAGTTCGAGAAGGCGGAGGAGATCCTGCACAGGCACTTCAGCGCAGCCGCAGACTCAGCTGGGAAGGTGAGGGCCGCTCCTAATGTTACATTTGTTTATTTATACAAGATCCAATAGGTTGTGCGATTATTGTCTAAACAAACATGTTTTCTGTGCTGATGTGGTGTCGACGCGTTCATAAGCAGAGAGCAGTCTGTTTTCTTTCATTTTAGACATTTCAAGCTTTCTGTAGATATATTTCTCAGGTCTGTGAGGCAAGTACGGTACCTTATACGCTGAGTTTCGGTTCATTTTTGAGACGAGCTCCAGTTCACACGCCGGCGCCTCCATGTCCTGATTATATTGTCTGCTATATTTACTTCTTATTTATTAAATCCAGGCAATTGGTTGATGAAACATTGATTAAAATTAAGATGCAATTTATACAAAATCAAATTCACTTTAAAGAAAGGCTTTCTACAAAACAAAACTTAATGAAGTGGTCAACATCATGTCTGACCCACTCCATGTGTCTCCTGATTGTGGAGGAAGTTAAAAAATAACATTATAAAACATTTATTTAAACATAAATATGAAACTAAATGTGTTTGTAAAAGTACAGAGAAATGTCGGAGCGAACGAGCATGTGGGGGAGGGATGCGATTTTCCTAATAATAATCAGATAATTCCCAGCAATCATCGGATATCATTTTAGCTTGAAATGCCCATCCCGTGTGTGTGTGTGTGTGTGTGTGGCAGAAGAAGCTGCTGGCGAGTCTGATCCAGCGGAGGCGCTCGTCACACTCGGTTCTGCAGCTGATCTCCTACAGCGACTTCAAGCAGGACATGCTGGAGTTCATCGAGCGGCTGTACCGCGTGCCCGAGCCCTTCCTCACGCAGGTCTGACTCCTCTTCCTCACCAGCTCCTCAAACGCCACAAGCTCTTTCAGTGGGAAACCACGTCACCACATTCGTTCTTCGGTTGTAGGGGTGTGTGATATATCTCTATCTGATAATATGTCACACACACCCAGCTTGAAGTGTACCGGACCTCTAGACGCTGGTGACTGTGTGTGTTTGCTCTGCAGATGCTGAAGCGCTCTGGACATCTCCGCCCGAGCGCTGAGCCGACGACATCATCATCCTCATCGTCCTCACGGGGGGGGCGGAGCTCCACGCAGAAGCCCAGCACAGCAGCGGCAGAGGATCATGGGTACTAACACATGCTGCACCGCTTCAGCTTCACCCCTGTTCACTGAAATAAAATCAGTTCAAGCTGAATTACTAAAATAATTGAATTACTAGAAAGTTTCCGTAGAAACAATTTATTTAAAAAAATACTATAAATTAAAAGACGTTTATTAAAATGTATTGCACAGCTTTTGACAAGATATGATAAATATGACAGAACAAGATGGGTTATTAATGATCTTTCAGTGCGGATTCTACTTCATTTTGTTGGCGTGAAATAAACAGGTATGGAAATGCAGAAATTAAATAGTGCTAAATATGGTAAAAACAAACTATTATTTGTATTTGAGCGGCTCTAGATGTGTGCAGTGCTATTAAATAACAGAAGACATACGATAGATGGCTATAGAATGAACAGTGAAAGTAACTGGCATTTTAACAGGCTCAATTAAACATGAAAATAACGTAAGGAAACATCTATTTGCTAAACAAATTAAGCCAACTAATATGATTCATATTCATCTGGGAAAAGTGGAATCTGGTGCATCCCTATCTAAATTACTACTAAAAAACTTTAAAAATGTTGCCCTGGCAATTAACTTAAATCAAATATGTAATAAAATTACTAAAACTGGAATAAAAATAAATAAAATCTAAGTAGAAAATTTTAAAAGGAACACAAAAGCATATAACAAAAATAAAGTATTAGTTCAGTTCAGAATTGACTCGCCTCCACGTCGTCCAAGATGTTCATGTCTTTCTTCCTTCAGTGGAAAGGAAATAAGGTTTATTTAAGGAACACACTCCAGGATGTTCTCCATATAGTGACTTGAATGGGGTCCAACTGGTCGAAGGTCCAGATGTGAGTTTCAGTGCAGCTTCAAAGTCTCGACACGATCCCACAAATGCTCATCTTGCACGTCCACGGCTTCATGCATTATGTATTCACGTTGAAAGGTGTGTTCTGGTTCAAAAATGTAAGATAAGGTGAAAAACTCCCTCTCATTTTCTCCTCCTGTTTTTACTTTTTTTGTTTTGTAAATGGCGTTTGTCTTAGTCTTTGCACGTTCTCTTTGTAAACACTAGGTCTGTTCTTCCGCCTACGTCCCGCTTGACCTTTCAACCTGATTATGTAATGTGTGTCGCATCAATGTGCAATACAAGCATTAGTGGTTAAAAAGTAAATAAATATTTTTGTTATAAATGTCGGCTGGTTTGTCTAGATCAGACTCTTATTCCTCGGCTGGATCGTGTTGAGACTTTGAAGCTGCACTGAAACTCACATCTGGACCTTCGACCAGTTGGACCCCATTGAAGTCTCTATATGGAGAAATCCTGGAGTGTGTTCCTCAAATAAACCTTATTTCTTTTCCACTGAAGAAAGAAAGACATGAACATCTTGGATGATGTGGGGGAGAGTAAATGATCAGGAAACTTTACTTGTAAAGTGAAGTGCGCGTGCCCCTGTGTGACGTGAGCCGCGTGTGTGTGTGTGTGTGTGTCAGCGGCGTGTGCTGTGTGAGTCTGCAGAGTGTGCGGCAGGTGTACGGCGAGCTGAGCGAGGAGTGTGGCGTGAGCGTGCCGTTCTCTCGGCTGCTGGAGGAGCTGGAGCTGGAGGCGCAGCAGCAGAGCCGAGAGCCGCCCGGGGACGAGCTGCACCTGGCTCTGTCCGAGACGCCCATGGAGCCGACGCAGAGCCTGAGCGCCCGCGAGCCGCGCGTCACCTTACACCGTTACACCGGCATGACCATATCCCGCCTGGTCACGGAGGAGGACAGCCAGCCCAGCGGAGACGACTCCCAGGACAACCTCTCGCAGAGCAGCGGCTGCGCAGCCCTCCAGAGGTCACCTCAGAGGTCACTGACACGACTGTTCACACCAAAGAGAGCTGGCGCGCTAGTGTGCTAGTCATCGCCATACTCATCCTCATAGTGCTGTGCTTCTCTAAAGGCAAACTGTGTTTTCCAGGCTCATCATCTGCAGTGATCCAGAGTCGGATGATCTTGAGACTGTCAGACGAACATCCTCAGACAACCAGCGTGATGACAGGTTAAATGAAGACTTTTACTGTAGTCGTTATAGCTATCGCCAAAGTTAGCGTTATAGTCATCGTCATAGTGGTTGTTTTAGCTATCATTATATTTATCGTTATTGTCATCGTCATAGTGTTATAGTGGTTGTTATAGCTATCAATATAGTTATCGCTAAAGTTATCGTTATATTCATCGTCATAGTGTTATAGTGGTTGTTATAGCTATCATTATAGTTATCGCTAAAGTTATCGTTATATTCATCGTCATAGTGTTATATTTGTTGATAGCTATCAATATAGTTATCGCTAAAGTTATCGTTATAGTGGTTGTTATAGCTATCAATATAGTTATCGCTAAAGTTATCGTTATATTCATCGTCATAGTGTTATAGTGGTTGTTATAGCTATCATTATAGTTATCGCTAAAGTTATCGTTATATTCATCGTCATAGTGTTATATTTGTTGTTATAGCTATCAATATAGTTATCGCTAAAGTTATCGTTATATTCATCGTCATAGTGTTATATTTGTTGTTATAGCTATCAATATAGTTATCGTTAAAGTTATCGTTATAGTGGTTGTTATAGCTATCAATATAGTTATCGCTAAAGTTATCGTTATATTCATCGTCATAGTGTTATAGTGGTTGTTATAGCTATCATTATAGTTATCGCTAAAGTTATCGTTATATTCATCATCATAGTGTTATAGTGGTTGTTATAGCTATCGTTATAGTTATCGCTAAAGTTATCGTTATATTCATCGTCATAGTGTTATAGTGGTTGTTATAGCTATCATTATAGTTATCGCTAAAGTTATCGTTATATTCATCGTCATAGTGTTATAGTGGTTGTTATAGCTATCATTATAGTTATCGCCAAAGTTATCGTTATATTCATCGTCATAGTGTTATAGTGGTTGTTATAGCTATCATTATAGTTATCGCTAAAGTTATCGTTATATTCATCGTTATAGTGGTTGTTATAGCTATCATTATAGTTATCGCTAAAGTTATCGTTATATTCATCGTTATAGTGGTTGTTATAGCTATCAATATAGTTATCGCTAAAGTTATCGTTATATTCATCGTCATAGTGTTATAGTGGTTGTTATAGCTATCATTATAGTTATCGCCAAAGTTATCGTTATATTCATCGTCATAGTGTTATAGTGGTTGTTATAGCTATCATTATAGTTATCGCTAAAGTTATCGTTATATTCATCGTTATAGTGGTTGTTATAGCTATCATTATAGTTATCGCTAAAGTTATCGTTATATTCATCGTCATAGTGTTATAGTGGTTGTTATAGCTATCAATATAGTTATCGCTAAAGTTATCGTTATATTCATCGTCATAGTGTTATAGTGGTTGTTATAGCTATCATTATAGTTATCGCCAAAGTTATCGTTATATTCATCGTCATAGTGTTATAGTGGTTGTTATAGCTATCATTATAGTTATCGCTAAAGTTATCGTTATATTCATCGTTATAGTGGTTGTTATAGCTATCATTATAGTTATCGCTAAAGTTATCGTTATATTCATCGTCATAGTGTTATAGTGGTTGTTATAGCTATCAATATAGTTATCGCTAAAGTTATCGTTATAGTGGTTGTTATAGCTATCAATATAGTTATCGCCAAAGTTATCATTATATTTATCATCATAGTGTTATAGCGGTTGTAATAGCTATCATTATAGTTATCGCTAAAGTTATCGTTATTGTCCTAGTGTTTTAATTATTGCTATAGCTAGAATTATAGTTTTCGGTAAAGCTACCGTCATAGTATTAAATGATTATGAACAATAATGGGCCTCCCATCTCATGTTATCCCTCAGTTTTGAACGCTTCTCTAAAGGCAGACTGTGTGTTCCAGGCTCATCATCCGCAGTGATCCAGAGTCGGAGGATCTCGAGACTGTCAGACGAACATCCTCAGACAACCAGCGTGATGACAGGTTAAATGAAGACTTTACTATACTCGTTAAATCGCTAAAGTTATCGTTATTCGTTCGGGTCACATGACGTCACTGTAGCTTTGCGCCGCCATCTTTACGACCGACGGTCCCAGTAATGTTTTATTCTATACCAGAAGAAAAGGATAGAAGAAAGAAGTGGTTAGCTGTCATTCGAAGAGATCATATTGTATCATGCCTCATCTCTCTGTGCGCACACATCCGAGCCGAAGCGTGCAGCCATAGACCCCTATACAGCGCACGAGTGATGAACTGAGCTCTGTTTCCTGTCTGAATGGACAAATACACTCAACATTGTGTTTAAATGTCCGTTTTGGAGAGTATCCACGTAAAATGTGTTGGTTATGTCTTAAACAGAGTTGTCATCCAGTCTCTTAGAGAGAGAGAGAGAGAGAGAGAGAGAGAGAGAGAGAGAGAGAGAGAGAGAGAGAGAGAGAGAGAGAGAGAGAGAGAGAGAGAGAGAGAGAGAGAGAGAGAGAGAGAGAGAGAGAGAGAGAGGCCGGAAAAATGATCGAGCTCATTTTTTTTATCGTGCGATTAATTGATTTATTGACTATCGCGACAGGCCTAATCCAGATTAATGACAGCTAGCCGTGAGCCGGGGCTAGCTAACAACTCGCTTCCTAGTCAGAGCAAACTACCAACATAATCATACATTTATAAAAAAAAATTATAATACCTACAATTTCCCGTGATTAAATATAAATGCTTGGTGGCCAGGTGCCGCAGTTTTACGTCTTTTACCCATCCAGCCGCAGCATATTGATAAGCATCGGTACTCTTGAAAGCCTTCAAGCGATCCCCACTGTATGGGAGGGGTTATGCACAAGATCATGGAAGGCAAAGTGGGGCAGATAATAATGGACAAAAGAAAACTGGGGGTAACAAATAAGGATCGGAGCCTAAAATTAAACTTTTCTCCAGGTATCTCTGTCTCTCTCTCTCATTCAAATGGGCAGTTTGGGCGGCCGTACCGGGGCGAGATCGGGCATAAATATGGCGGTGTTCTATTCGGTAGTGACGTAGGTGGCATCTATGAATAGTCATCGTCATAGTGTTGTCCTTCTCTAAAGGCAGACTGTGTGTTCCAGGCTCATCATCCGCAGTGATCCAGAGTCGGAGGATCTCGAGACTGTCAGACGAACATCCTCAGACAACCAGCGTGATGACAGGTGAAATGAAGACTTTACTATAGTCGTTATAGCTATCGTTATAGTTATCGCTAAAGTTATCGTTATAGTCATAGTGGTCTGTTTGTTTGCTACACCTGTTCACCTGAGTTCAGTGGGGCTTTGACAGAAAGAGGGAGTGAGCCTGGGAGCGAACACTTTCTGTTGGCCGCACTCACACAGCACTTTTATGACTTGGTAACTGCAGTACCAGTTGCACTTTTACGTGCAAGTGTAATAAATGAGTGAACTTGGATCGTTGAGTGGAACTGAGTTTCTGCGCGTCGCAGTGTTTTCAGTCTCTCAGTGTTTAGTCCCTCGCGGCTGCAAATTTTGTCGTTATAGTCATCGTCATAGTGTTAAAGTGGTTGTTATAGCTATCAATATAGTTATCGCTAAAGTTATCGTTATATTCATCATCATAGTGTTAAAGTGGTTGTTATAGCTATCAATATAGTTATCGCTAAAGTTATCGTTATATTCATCATCATAGTGTTAAAGTGGTTGTTATAGCTATCAATATAGTTATCGCTAAAGTTATCGTTATATTCATCATCATAGTGTTAAAGTGGTTGTTTTAGCTGTCATTATAGTTATCGCTAAAGTTATCGTTATAGGCATCGTCATAGTGTTATAGTTGTTGTTTTAGCTATCATTATAGTTATCGCTAAAGTTAGCGTTATAGTCATCCTCATAGTGTTGTCCTTCTCTAAAGGCAGACTGTGTTTTCCAGGCTCATCATCCGCAGTGATCCAGAGTCGGAGGATCTCGAGACTGTCAGACGAACATCCACAGACAACCAGCGTGATGACAGGTGAAATGAAGACTTTTACTGTAGTCGTTATAGCTATCGCCAAAGTTAGCGTTATAGTCATCGTCATAGTGGTTGTTTTAGCTATCATTATATTTATCGTTATTGTCATCGTCATAGTGTTATAGTGGGTGTTATAGCTATCATTATAGTTATCGCTAAAGTTATCGTTATAGTCATCCTCATAGTGTTATAGTGGTTGTTTTAGCTATCATTATATTTATCGTTATTGTCATCGTCATAGTGTTATAGTGGGTGTTATAGCTATCATTATAGTTATCGCTAAAGTTATCGTTATAGTCATCCTCATAGTGTTGTCCTTCTCTAAAGGCAAACTGTGTGTTCCAGGCTCATCATCCGCAGTGATCCAGAGTCGGAGGATCTCGAGACTGTCAGACGAACATCCACAGACAACCAGCGTGATGACAGGTGAAATGAAGACTTTACTATAGTCGGTATAGCTATCATTATACTTATCGCTAAAGTAATCGTTATAGTTGTCGTTATAGCTATCAATATAGTCATCGTCATAGTGTTATATGTAAGCCATAAGGTACGAGAGGCTGTGCTGTATGGTGAATAAGTAACGGCTCGATGTGAAGCGGAGTAACCCCTTCAGCCGTGACTTATTCACCATACAGCACTTGCCTCGAGTACCTTATTGCTTTTATAAAACGGTTACCACACAATACAAATATTAAAGTAAAACAAAAATGTATTAGTGCAACTTTCATGAAGTAAAATCACTAAAAGCCTTCCTTCCGCTAGAAAAGAAATAGTCCCTGACCGTGAGCAGCAACAACGTTCCAGTGTGTAATATGCAGGAAAGCTCAAATAAACACAACATAGGAACCGCAGTGATGCGCAGTGATAAATAGAGCCGTTGGGTGAAGCGGTCATAGCCGTTTTTTATCGTGAATAAAGCACAGCTATTGACCAATCAGAATCAAGGATTGGAACTAACCGTTTTATAGTTGTCGCTATAGCTATAGATAGTGTTCGGTAGGGACGCACCGATACCAGGATGGGTATCAGGCCCGATACTGAGCTCATGTACTCGTAAAAATGCTCCGATACCAACAACCGACACCAGGCAGCGTGTGAACACTTGTAGCACATAGCTGTGGTGCGCCAGCTGATAAGAGAAACCGCGCAGTGGATTGAGCGCTAGCTGGTCGAGCGCATCACTTTTTTACAGATGTCAGTGGAAAGTTTGTAGTTCAGGCGGATGTCAATGTCAAAGATAGTAAAACGAGGCCTGATCGTTCACTCCGCACGAGTTATTTGGATTAAAACTAAGTCTGATGCATGGTTCCCTACATTATTACAGGACGTGTGCAGGTCAAGAAGTTTCATGAACACCAACGTACAAAGCGAATACTGAATGTAAACTCTGTCAGTAATTACTCTCCCTCATGCTGTTCAACCCCGAAAGACTTTCGTTCATCTTCAGAACACAAATGAAGATATTTGTGATTAAATCTGAGAGCTGGATCACTCCTCCATAGGCTTCTTAAGGGATTGAAACTGGCCGGCCCAGAAAAGCTATTAAAGACATTGTTAAAATAGTCCGAGTGACTACAGTGGCTCAACCTTAAGTTTATCAAGCGACGAGAATACTAAAATAACGACTTTATTCAACTCTTCATTTCCTTCTCTGTGGGCCTCGAGTGAGTTTGCGTAGTGTAACTGCGCAGCGCTTCTGTGCGTCACACACACACACACACATGACCAGCGTCGGCCAATAGTGAGCCTGCGTGTGACGTACACCACAGAAGCGCTGCGCTGTTACACTACGCGAACTCACTCGAGGCCCACAGAGAAGGAAATTAATAATTTTTTTGCGCACAAAAAGTATTCTCGTCTGAAGTTTCAGTCCCTTAGAAGCCTATGGAGGAGATCCAGCTCTCAGATCAGTTTCGGCTGAACTAACCCTTTAAAGGGATAGTTCGGCCAAAAATGATATTTAAACCATGCATTACTCACGTCGATCGTTGCCGGAAGTCAGATATTTTCATTTATAAAGTTTTAAATATGTATATTTTTATGACAAAACCGCACGGATTACCCTCAGAAGGCCTTCGTTTACCCCCCTGGAGCCGGATGGATTACTTCTGTGAAGGATGTATGCACATTTTGGGACATGAAGGAGGAGGACCCCATTGCTTCACATTATATCCACTGAAGGGTCTAAGACATTTTCTAAAATAACTGAAAATGTGTTCGTCTGAAACAAGATTGACATATGCATCTCGAACGGCTTGAGGGTGAGTAATGCATGTGTTAAATATCATTTTCGGCTGAACTATCCCTTTAAGGGGCAGCAGTCTTATAACCCTCGGCTGTGTTTTAATGCTAATCAAACTAAGCACACATACATCACTCACTGCTCTTGACTAAATAGGCTACCTTTTAAACTTTACAAAAAGATCCATATATATTTTATTTATTCAGTAATGGATATGCAGTGTTTTTTTTTCCACATTTGATTGATTACTGTAGTTTTTGTAGTATCAAATTTGGAATAAAGAATTGGTGTCCAAACATGAGTCCTGCTGGAGCTGCCATAAACATGTGATCCGCTGTTAAATGAAAGATCACAGTGACAGTAACAGAAGCTCATATTTTAGCAGGCTTAATTAAGCATGAACTGAAGGAAAGATTTATTTGATGAACAAATTAAGCCAAATAATATGATTAATATTATTTTAAAAATCACAAATGCAGTGAAAATACAGGTATGGGTTTTACGGTATCGGACTCGTTCTGGAAAAGTGGTATCGGTGCGTCTCTAGTTTTCGGTATAGCTAGCATCATGGTGCTATATATATATCTCTCAGTTTTGAACGCTTCTCTAAAGGCAGACTGTGTGTTCCAGGCTCATCATCCGCAGTGATCCAGAGTCGGAGGATCTCGAGACTGTCAGACGAACATCCTCAGACAACCAGCGTGATGACAGGTGAAATAAAGACTTTTACTAGCAGTGCTTCAGATCGCCGTATGATTCAAGTCATGTGGTCCTGTAATATCAGCTGACTGTAGTGTGTGTGTGTGTGTGTGTGTGCCAGTGAATCCGCGAGTGTGTCGAAGGTGTGTTCAGCGGCTCAGCGCTCGACCCACAGGTGCGTCTGTTCACTGCTCTCCTGTCACACATCATTTACACAAATATTAGAAATAATAATAAAAGTAAAAAAAAAAAAAAAAAATTTTAATTGACAGGAATATACTGGAAAATATTCGATTCGAACAGTCATGAAACCCCTGGAAAAGTTTTTTGGGGAAAAAAATAATTTTGGAAATTTGTTACACAAATGTCTTTATCATAGAATACATGTTTAATTGATAAAATCGGCTGCACAAATAAATTTGAGCATGCATTTTCCTTCTGCTTGTACAGGTGTACATAGACTTTCATGAAACATTTGCCTCAAATATATATTTATATGAACCCTGGTTTATATGCTTACATTCTGGCAGTGTTGTGAACACCTAATATCATTTACATCGTATAAGATTCTGTTTTAATTATTATTTAATTAAGATTTAATTATTTAGCACAGAAGTATTCTTGTGTATGTGTTATGTCCAGTAGCTGACTGTAGTGTGTGTGTGTGTGTGTGTGTAGTAGTGGTGAATCGCGCTCGACTCCGTCTGTCAGACGCTCGGGGAAGGGAACACACAACAGCCGCAGGTGTGAACACGTTACATCATCTCTGAACCCATGATGCACTGCTATCGGATGAACATGATCCCTCTGGAGGCTTCTATGTGATTCCCATAGTGCTCGTGTAAACGGCTGATGTGATGCGGTGTGTGTGTTCTCCTCAGGGTCGTTGTGTCCAGTGATGAGGAGTGTGAGGATCCTCCGTCTGACAGACACACAGCCGGACAGGAGCCGCATGACAGCAGGTGCATTCAGAACACACACACACACACACACACACACACACACACACACACACACACACACACACACACACACACACACACACACACACACACACACACACACAAAGTGCCCAAGCAACATTGCTCAAAAAGTTGCCCTGTGTATCATCACCTTCACACTCACACACTCACGTACTCTCTCACTCTCTCACACACACACACACACACAGACACACTCATACGCTCACACACCCACTCTTACACACACACACACTCTCTCACACACACTGTACTCATTTGATGCTCTCTAAGGCATGCTAGAGATGTAGCTGACAGCGTTCACCGATAACTGTGATGCTGAAAACACAGGATCTCCAGCTGATGATCTCAAACTGTGAAACACACACTCTCTCACTCAGTCACTCACACACACTCTCTCACACAGCGCATTATAAAACTCAACGCACACCAAATGCTAAGCAATCAACAGGAAAACCGAATTCCTCTAAAAAAGGACCAAACAAGGTTTTTTTGATAAGTATTTGTACTTCACTGTTGTAAAAGCACCGTACACACACACACACACACACAGCATATGAGGATGTTGAACTAAAGTTGCTTCTCGTCCTCCGCTACGCTTCTGAAGTGCTGAAGTCAAGCTTTCTGGCTCGAACTCGCCGCCTTTGAAGAGAAGGATTGACATGTACAGATGCAGAGTGCAGTGCTAATGTGTGTTTGGGTGTGTTCTTATTGCCTATCACCTAGACAGTGCTTGCCTGTAACTCAGTGTGTGTGTGTGTGTGTGTGTGTGTGTGTGTGTTTCTCAGTGACCCAGAGTGTCTGTTGGAGGAGCGTGCAGCGCCCCAGAGCTCGACTCCTGCGCGCCACAGCAGAGCCGCTCGGAGCAATCACAGGTGTGTGTGTGTGTGTGTGTGTGTGTGTTTCTCAGTGACCCAGAGTGTGTGTTTCTCAGTGACCCAGAGTGTGTGTTTCTCAGTGACCCAGAGTGTGTGTTTCTCAGTGACCCAGAGTGTGTGTTTCTCAGTGACCCAGAGTGTGTGTTTCTCAGTGACCCAGAGTGTGTGTTTCTCAGTGACCCAGAGTGTGTGTTGGAGGAGCGTGCAGCGCCCCAGAGCTCGACTCCTGCGCGCCACAGCAGAGCCGCTCGGAGCAATCACAGGTGTGTGTGTGTGTGTGTGTGTGTGTGTGTGTGTTTCTCAGTGACCCAGAGTGTGTGTTTCTCAGTGACCCAGAGTGTGTGTTTCTCAGTGACCCAGAGTGTGTGTTTCTCAGTGACCCAGAGTGTGTGTTGCTCAGTGACCCAGAGTGTGTGTTTCTCAGTGACCCAGAGTGTGTGTTTCTCAGTGACCCAGAGTGTGTGTTTCTCAGTGACCCAGAGTGTGTGTTTCTCAGTGACCCAGAGTGTGTGTTTCTCAGTGACCCAGAGTGTGTGTTTCTCAGTGACCCAGAGTGTGTGTTTCTCAGTGACCCAGAGTGTGTGTTTCTCAGTGACCCAGAGTGTGTGTTTCTCAGTGACCCAGAGTGTGTGTTTCTCAGTGACCCAGAGTGTGTGTTTCTCAGTGACCCAGAGTGTGTGTTTCTCAGTGACCCAGAGTGTGTGTTTCTCAGTGACCCAGAGTGTGTGTTTCTCAGTGACCCAGAGTGTGTGTTTCTCAGTGACCCAGAGTGTGTGTTTCTCAGTGACCCAGAGTGTGTGTTTCTCAGTGACCCAGAGTGTGTGTTTCTCAGTGACCCAGAGTGTGTGTTTGTCAGTGACCCAGAGTGTGTGTTTCTCAGTGACCCAGAGTGTGTGTTTCTCAGTGACCCAGAGTGTGTGTTTCTCAGTGACCCAGAGTGTGTGTTTCTCAGTGACCCAGAGTGTGTGTTTCTCAGTGACCCAGAGTGTGTGTTTCTCAGTGACCCAAAATGTGTGTGTTTCTCAGTGACCCAAAATGTGTGTGTTTCTCAGTGACCCAGAGTGTGTGTTTCTCAGTGACCCAGAGTGTGTGTTTCTCAGTGACCCAGAGTGTGTGTTTCTCAGTGACCCAGAGTGTGTGTTTCTCAGTGACCCAGAGTGTGTGTTTCTCAGTGACCCAGAGTGTGTGTTTCTCAGTGAACCAAAGTGTGTGTTTCTCAGTGACCCAGAGTGTGTGTTTCTCAGTGACCCAGAGTGTGTGTTTCTCAGTGACCCAGAGTGTGTGTTTCTCAGTGACCCAGAGTGTGTGTTTCTCAGTGACCCAGAGTGTGTGTTTGTTAGTGACCCAGAGTGTGTGTTTCTCAGTGACCCAGAGTGTGTGTTTCTCAGTGACCCAGAGTGTGTGTTTCTCAGTGACCCAGAGTGTGTGTTTCTCAGTGACCCAGAGTGTGTGTTTCTCAGTGACCCAGAGTGTGTGTTTCTCAGTGACCCAGAGTGTGTGTTTCTCAGTGACCCAGAGTGTGTGTTTCTCAGTGACCCAGAGTGTGTGTTTCTCAGTGACCCAGAGTGTGTGTTTCTCAGTGACCCAGAGTGTGTGTTTCTCAGTGACCCAGAGTGTGTGTTTCTCAGTGACCCAGAGTGTGTGTTTCTCAGTGACCCAGAGTGTGTTTCTCAGTGACCCAGAGTGTGTGTTTGTTAGTGACCCAGAGTGTGTGTTTCTCAGTGACCCAGAGTGTGTGTTGCTCAGTGACCCAGAGTGTGTGTTTCTCAGTGACCCAGAGTGTGTGTTTCTCAGTGACCCAGAGTGTGTGTTTCTCAGTGACCCAGAGTTTGTGTTTCTCAGTGACCCAGAGTGTGTGTTTCTCAGTGACCCAGAGTGTGTGTTTCTCAGTGACCCAGAGTGTGTGTTTCTCAGTGACCCAGAGTGTGTGTTTCTCAGTGACCCAGAGTGTGTGTTTGTTAGTGACCCAGAGTGTGTGTTTGTCAGTGACCCAGAGTGTGTGTTTGTCAGTGACCCAGAGTGTGTGTTTGTCAGTGACCCAGAGTGTGTGTTTGTCAGTGACCCAGAGTGTGAGTTTCTCAGTGACCCAGAGTGTGTGTTTCTCAGTGACCCAGAGTGTGTGTTTCTCAGTGACCCAGAGTGTGTGTTTCTCAGTGACCCAGAGTGTGTGTTTCTCAGTGACCCAGAGTGTGTGTTTCTCAGTGACCCAGAGTGTGTGTTTCTCAGTGACCCAGAGTGTGTGTTTGTTAGTGACCCAGAGTGTGTGTTTCTCAGTGACCCAGAGTGTGTGTTGCTCAGTGACCCAGAGTGTGTGTTGCTCAGTGACCCAGAGTGTGTGTTTCTCAGTGACCCAGAGTGTGTGTTTCTCAGTGACCCAGAGTGTGTGTTGCTCAGTGACCCAGAGTGTGTGTTTCTCAGTGACCCAGAGTGTGTGTTTCTCAGTGACCCAGAGTGTGTGTTTCTCAGTGTTTCTCAGTGACCCAGAGTGTGTGTTTCTCAGTGACCCAGAGTGTGTGTTGCTCAGTGACCCAGAGTGTGTGTTTCTCAGTGACCCAGAGTGTGTGTTTCTCAGTGACCCAGAGTGTGTGTTTCTCAGTGACCCAGAGTGTGTGTTTCTCAGTGACCCAGAGTGTGTGTTTCTCAGTGACCCAGAGTGTGTGTTTCTCAGTGACCCAGAGTGTGTGTTTCTCAGTGACCCAGAGTGTGTGTTTCTCAGTGACCCAGAGTGTGTGTTTCTCAGTGACCCAGAGTGTGTGTTGGAGGAGCGTGCAGCGCCCCAGAGCTCGAGTCCTGCGCGCCACAGCAGAGCCGCTCGGAGCAATCACAGGTGTGTGTGTGTGTGTGTGTTAGGGTGGACATTTCTCACAAACATATGGGCTCATAAATATCTAATATTCGTTTATTTAAATGACGTTTTTTCAGTTTTTGTCACTGTTTCTGATCAAGCTTACGATATATCTTTAGGTTTTCTTTGAGTGGAAACCATTAAACAATGTGTGTAAACAAAAAATATAAAGAACACGAGCATTTAAGCTCAAGCAGCGCTAGCGCTAATAAAGCAGGCCGCGCCACCTATCACACAGAACACACATATACACTCGTCAGCCTATGATTATCGCCGTGTTTGTGTTGTTTCACGTGTTCATGTTGAGGAAGCCAGTAACATCCCCATGCTCGAGTGAGAGACACACACACACACACACACACACACACACACAACGGTGTGCGAAGAGAAGTTTGTGTTCTCTGTTGTTAAACTCCCTCGACGACACCTAAAGGAAGCGTCTCGATCAAATTGCTATCTGAGAAGGATCATAATAAGGGTGATAAGGTTTAGATTTCATGGTGGTGATAGTATTATAATAACTCAGTTTTATTCATTACTTTGATTAAAAGTAATTCCCTTTTGTAATATAATTTAGTAAGATCATTTTCATCGAAGTACTTCCACACTCCAGAGGCAGAGACGACATCATGTGATCACAGAGAGTGAGCTTGATCACACGCTCCACAGCGCCGCCCAGTGCATTGAGTTATAACTGCGAGTTAGTGTTGGGGTTCATCATGCGTTACGGCCAGTGAAGCCGCGGACTGAAATTCAAGCAGTATTTCTATTTTTCTAATAGTAATTAATAATGCACCTCCCTAGTTCACATCATCATCAGACCCGCCACGAGGAGAGAGCTAGAGCTTAGATCGGGCCCAAGAAATCCAGCCCGAGGCGACACATTAACTATAACTATGAGCCCGATTTAAACCCGGACACTTTTTAACACGTGGGTCATTATTATAACTGACGTTCTCAACTTTCTCTGTTACTTTCTCCCGCCCGCAAACAGACTTTATTCTGCACCTCCAAATACTTTCAGGTTAGGCTACGTGTCGCCACCACACACATCAGCATATCAATTATGTGTTATTAAAGCATTAACACACAAACCACTGTTATAACAGAAAAGCATAGGCTACTGCGTGTGCGGTCTGGCATGACTTCCTCGCGATCTCACACACATCTGTTATTATCACTGAAGCTGACTGCACAATGATCTTTCATAATATACACACTTTGTTTGTCATAACAAATCTAAGCTCTAGCGAGAGTGTGTGTGTGTGTGTGTGTGTGTTAGACTGACGGCTGTGTTCCTCCTGTGTGCAGTGAGTCTGAGGTTCACAGCACTCGCCCGCAGGTGTGTGTGTGTGTGTGTGTGTGTGTGTGTGTGTGTGTGTGTGTGTGTGTGTGTGTGTGTGTGTGTGTGTGTGTGTGTGTGTGTGTGTGTGTGTGTGTTAGACTGACTGCTGTGTTCCTCCTGTGTGCAGTGAGTCTGAGGTTCACAGCACTCGCCCGCAGGTGTGTGTGTGTGTGTGTGTGTGTGTGTGACGGCTGTGTTCCTCCTGTGTGCAGTGAGTCTGAGGTTCACAGCACTCGCCCGCAGGTGTGTGTGTGTGTGTGTGTGTGTGTGTGACAGCTGTGTTCCTCCTGTGTGCAGTGAGTCTGAGGTTCACAGCACTCGCCCGCAGGTGTGTGTGTGTGTGTGTGTGACGGCTGTGTTCCTCCTGTGTGCAGTGAGTCTGAGGTTCACAGCACTCGCCCGCAGGTGTGTGTGTGTGTGTGTGTGTGTGTGTGACGGCTGTGTTCCTCCTGTGTGCAGTGAGTCTGAGGTTCACAGCACTCGCCCGCAGGTGTGTGTGTGTGTGTGTGTGTGACGGCTGTGTTCCTCCTGTGTGCAGTGAGTCTGAGGTTCACAGCACTCGCCCGCAGGTGTGTGTGTGTGTGTGTGTGTGACGGCTGTGTTCCTCCTGTGTGCAGTGAGTCTGAGGTTCACAGCACTCGCCCGCAGGTGTGTGTGTGTGTGTGTGTGTGTGTGTGACGGCTGTGTTCCTCCTGTGTGCAGTGAGTCTGAGGTTCACAGCACTCGCCCGCAGGTGTGTGTGTGTGTGTGTGTGACGGCTGTGTTCCTCCTGTGTGCAGTGAGTCTGAGGTTCACAGCACTCGCCCGCAGGTGTGTGTGTGTGTGTGTGTGTGTGTGTGACGGCTGTGTTCCTCCTGTGTGCAGTGAGTCTGAGGTTCACAGCACTCGCCCGCAGGTGTGTGTGTGTGTGTGTGTGTGACGGCTGTGTTCCTCCTGTGTGCAGTGAGTCTGAGGTTCACAGCACTCGCCCGCAGGTGTGTGTGTGTGTGTGTGTGTGACGGCTGTGTTCCTCCTGTGTGCAGTGAGTCTGAGGTTCACAGCACTCGCCCGCAGGTGTGTGTGTGTGTGTGTGTGTGACGGCTGTGTTCCTCCTGTGTGCAGTGAGTCTGAGGTTCACAGCACTCGCCCGCAGGTGTGTGTGTGTGTGTGTGTGACGGCTGTGTTCCTCCTGTGTGCAGTGAGTCTGAGGTTCACAGCACTCGCCCGCAGGTGTGTGTGTGTGTGTGTGTGTGTGTGTGACGGCTGTGTTCCTCCTGTGTGCAGTGAGTCTGAGGTTCACAGCACTCGCCCGCAGGTGTGTGTGTGTGTGTGTGTGTGACGGCTGTGTTCCTCCTGTGTGCAGTGAGTCTGAGGTTCACAGCACTCGCCCGCAGGTGTGTGTGTGTGTGTGTGTGTGACGGCTGTGTTCCTCCTGTGTGCAGTGAGTCTGAGGTTCACAGCACTCGCCCGCAGGTGTGTGTGTGTGTGTGTGTGTGACGGCTGTGTTCCTCCTGTGTGCAGTGAGTCTGAGGTTCACAGCACTCGCCCGCAGGTGTGTGTGTGTGTGTGTGTGTGACGGCTGTGTTCCTCCTGTGTGCAGTGAGTCTGAGGTTCACAGCACTCGCCCGCAGGTGCGCAGCTCTCCAGCCGACAGCCGCTCGTCGTCCTCAGGGAAGCGCAGCGCCAAGAGGTGAGTGTGTGTGTGTGAGAGTGTGTGTGTGAGAGTGTGTGTGTGAGTGTGAACACACACTGACTGACGATGTGTCTCTCAGGGCCCGATGGCAGGACGCGTCAGGGATTCAGGAGGACTGGAGTGACGAGGAGTCTCTGTTCAGCGGCGCTTCAGGTGCACACACACACACACACACATACACACACACACACACACACACACACACACACACAGCTGTAGGGCCGGACATGAGAAATTGAAATGATTTTTTAATGATACTTTGAAACCGCCAGTATGAGTCGTTGAATCATCCACTCAACCGATTCGCTCAAAAGGCCGATTCTTGTATTGATGAATGAATCACTGATTTATTCCGGAATGAACTCTTTTGTTTGCACAATACTGTTTCTGAAATATAACTCCCAGTATGAACTGTTGTGCAGAGTCAATATCTCATCAGCAGTCGTGCTGACAGCACACTTACCCGTGTGGTTCTGCTTGACTGCATTTCCCCTTCATATATGGATCATCACACACACAGCTTGTGTTTCGGACTGAATTATACCTGATCATATCCCTCTGTGTATCATCACGAATCACGAAGTTAGGATTGGCGGTGCATATGTCACACACACTCACGTTTCTGCTTCACGTTTGTGTCTGCAGGTCCGTCCCACAAGAAGAAGTACACCAGGAAGGTGCGTGTGTGCGTGTGTGCGTGTGTGTGTGTGTGTGTGTGTGTGTGTGTGTGTGTGTGTGGGCTTGTCCCATCAGATACTTGCGCTGTTTAATGTGTTTGAGATGTAGTGTTGTCCTCGGTGCATAACGCACTATATTCTTCATCTGTAAATGTCAGAAACTTGATTTGAGTGAATGTCCGCTAAACTTCGGTGATGTCCGTGAACGCGGGCCGCTGTGCGAAACACAGAATTACTGCACTCCAATCAGGACTCTAGAGAGAGACCAAAATTACTCCTAGGTTTTTCCTAACATCCCCGCTCGCATCTCCACGAACGAGGCGCTTGTTCTCCTGGTGGATCATATCGTGGTGTAAGCCAATCGGAGACAGAGGTGGGGCGGGGCTTTGCCTCTGATTGGCTGTGAAAGTCCGTGAGAAAGTCCAGAATCTGTCAGTAAATGTGTCCGAGTGCCGATGTTTTGCTCATATGTGACAGATTGGATGTGTTCCATGATAAATATCACACTGCGTCGTCGACTAGCTCTCTCCGAATCTGGACACGCTGGTGGGATAGCATAACACTGCGGTTACTCTTGTCTTTTCCAGGTGTGTGTGGACAACATGCTCCTCGTTAAAGCCGCCACGATCTCATGGAAGTGTGTGTCTATAGCACGAGTTTTATTTCTCACGCCAAAAATAGTTTTTTTCTCACGCAACAACTATTTTTGTCGTATAAATGGCAGGAGAAATGAATCGTGCTATAGACACACACTTCCATGAGATCGTGTTGTACGTTCCCACAGTCCTGAGATCTCTCTCGCTGCTCGCTGAACCCCTTTAAGCATGCGCGATGTTTCAGATCTCTGGCTAGTGTAAACACATGACTCGGATATGGGTCACAATTTAAACAACGTGTGAACGGACGGTCCAAAGAAAACGTATAAAGGCAAGAAATCAGCATTGGGCATCAAGACCTGCAGTGTAAACGAGGCCACGGCCATCAGCAAACGCAGGAGAACAGACGACGAATGAACAGAAATAGACAGAGTTTTCTTTGAGAGAAGTAGGCCTGTTCCCACACACACTCCCGGTCAGCGCTCCGACAACAGCCAGAGAAGAGCGCAGATCTGTTCAGGGAAGAGCTTTAAACAGCAGCACTTTCTATTTCTACTTTCAAATGTTTCATTTTGCTTAAAATGTTTTAGTTTGGCAGCTCAGTGAAGCACTTGAAACTTTTTTTTATTTTTAAAAAACGATTTTTATTTGTATATACAGTATAATTGTGCTACAAATGAAGAAAAAAAACACCTTATTCTTGTTTAAAATCATTTACATAATATATATGAATGCATATGGAGTGTGATAAAAAGTTGACCTTAAAAATTATATTGCCATTCATCCAAAATGATATGATGTTTTGGCCATATCGCCCAGCCTGAACACAAACTTGTGAAAATGCTGCCTTGTGGAGTATCACCGTAAACACAGTGGCTTATGTCTTAAGTGAGATTAAACATGAGTGAGATGAGGTGCATGTGTAAATACAGGATCCGTGAAGCTCTTAAAGGGACAGGCGCCTAATATCCCTGCCGCCGTCCGTTATTACAGGCTAGTCAAACTAAAGACAGACTTAATCTATAATTATACACTGAAGATCGATTCATATCTCTGTACCTGAACATCGAGTTTAGACCTACATTTATTTGTGCTATTCCTTGATTTAACAATATTTACAATGTATATGAGTTAGGCTAGCAGTTTTTGGTGTCATAACCTTATTTATTAAGGTTATATGGATCAAAAACAACTAAAATAATAACTAGATGTATTTATTACTTTTTTGTGTTGGGGCCAATGACAATTTTGGCAGGGCAAGTAAACATTTCAACCACAGTAGGAAAAGCCCGGTTACGCTTTATTTGAATGTGTCATTATTACAGTGTAGTTATACATTTAAGAACTGAGTAATATTAATTAATAACATGTGCTTACTATAGGGTTAGGTTTGGTTGCATGTAATTATGCATCATTTACATATGTAACAAGGCCACTGTAATATAGTGTTCCCAAAAGCCCTCATCTGTGTGTGTGTGTGTGTGTGTCAGCTGTGGACGGTGCAGGAGTCGGACTGGCTGAAGGAGGGCGTGCGGCGCTTCGGCGCGGGACACTGGGAGCCGATCCGCTCCGCCTTCCCCTTCACGGGCCGCTCCGCCTGCAACCTGAAGGACCGCTGGAGGACCATGGTCAAGCTCAAGATGGTGTGACACACACACACACGCCCGATCACCTGCTTTTTATACCCATGTTCTTGTTCACAAACTGTTTTATAGCACCGTATGTGTGTGAGTGTGTGTGTGTGAGAGAGGTTTTGGTTCCTTATTAAATGTTCGTTATTTTGGAGCAAGGGCTGCTGTCGTCATTCCACACACACACACACACACCTGGACTCACACACTATCAGATCAGTAGAGATACGAGGTCTGGTTCCTGAGTGCTTAACACAAGAGCAGAGTCTGGGGTCAGGGGTCAGGAACATCTCACAAGAACACACAGTACATACACAGCTGATGATGCGGGACTCAGGGGGGGAAACAAGTGTCAGCTTTGGCTCAATGTGCTTTTGTGTGTGTGTGTGTGGTGTGGTGAAATCACTGTAACAGAACACACATGAGGAGTTCACAGGTCACGTGATCTCCAAGCCTCGTGTTCAGAGCGGCAGTGAAGCAGTCGTGTGTGTGTGTGTATCAGCACGCGCAGGGCTTCAGGTCGATGCGATGAGAGTGGACTGTGTGTATGTGTATGTGTATGTGTGTGTGTGTGTGTCAGCACGCGCAGGGCTTCTTCTCGTCGGCTGATGCTGAGGTCAGGCTGACGGTGTGTGAGTTGCTCCGCAGCATCACGGCGTGTGTGTGGTCGTCAGTGACGCTGGTGTCGTTCTGCATCAGCAGCCGGCGAGCCATCACGACGAAGGCCTCCTCCACGCTCCAGGCGTCTCTCGCCGACGTCTCCACCGCCGCTAGCAGGCCCTTCTCCTCCGCTAGCCTGCACGCCTCCTCGAACTGCACCTCGCGCTCCGCCTCCAGGTCTCGCTTGTTACCTGAGGAAACACACGTTTAGACCTTCACATCTCTCTCGTGAAACCAACACTGAGTGAGTTAAACTGCAGTTCCTCCACTGGCCACTAGAGGCCGGCTGCAGAAGAGCCTCAATCCCACAGACCCGCATGTTAAAATGCCCAACTTTACAGCAGAAGATAACATGTTTACAGCCTGGAGCAAAAAGTGGTTATGGTCTATAGAGCTAATTTTGCCCTTCATGACGACTGTGAGGGGGGTGAATTGTTTTTATAACTCATCAGTTTAATTTACATTAAGGCTTAAATTTGTGCATAATTAAGGGTGTGGCCACTTGAGTGACGTGGATTGCCGCTGATGTCACTAATAGCTGTTTCTTTGCTATATGTTAGCGTCACACCACCTCGGCTACGTTGAGTGACTGAGCGTTCACCGTGTGGAGGACTAGCGTTCAGTTGTACCGATGAGCGCGGTGAGCATGTTAGCGGCTCTGTTCAGTGACTGATCGTGTGGAAGACTAGCGTTCAGTCGTACCGATGAGCGCGGTGAGCATGTTAGCGGCTCTGTTCAGTGACTGAGCGTTCACCGTGTGGAGGACTAGCGTTCAGTTGTACCGATGAGCGCGGTGATGCATGTTAGCGGCTCTGTTCAGTGACTGATCGTGTGGAAGACTAGCGTTCAGTCGTACCGATGAGCGCGGTGAGCATGTTAGCGGCTCTGTTCAGTGACTGAGCGTTCACCGTGTGGAGGACTAGCGTTCAGTTGTACCGATGAGCGCGGTGAGCATGTTAGCGGCTCTGTTCAGTGACTGATCGTGTGGAAGACTAGCGTTCAGTCGTACCGATGAGCGCGGTGAGCATGTTAGCGGCTCTGTTCAGTGACTGAGCGTTCACCGTGTGGAGGACTAGCGTTCAGTTGTACCGATGAGCGCGGTGATGCATGTTAGCGGCTCTGTTCAGTGACTGAGCGTTCACCGTGTGGAGGACTAGCGTTCAGTTGTACCGATGAGCGCGGTGATGCATGTTAGCGGCTCTGTTCAGTGACTGAGCGTTCACCGTGTGGAGGACTAGCGTTCAGTTGTACCGATGAGCGCGGTGATGCATGTTAGCGGCTCTGTTCAGTGACTGATCGTGTGGAAGACTAGCGTTCAGTCGTACCGATGAGTGCGGTGAGCATGTTAGCGGCTCCGTTCAATGACTGATCGTGTGGAGGACTAGCGTTCAGTCGTCCCGATTAGCGCGGTGAGCATGTTAGCGGCTCTGTTCAATGACTGATCGTGTGGAAGACTAGCGTTCAGTCGTACCGATGAGCGCGGTGAGCATGTTAGCGGCTCTGTTCAATGACTGATCGTGTGGAAGACTAGCGTTCAGTCGTACCGATGAGCGCGGTGAGCATGTTAGCGGCTCCGTTCAATGACTGATCGTGTGGAGGACTAGCGTTCAGTCGTACCGATTAGCGCGGTGAGCATGTTAGCGGCTCTGTTCAATGACTGATCGTGTGGAAGACTAGCGTTCAGTCGTCCCGATTAGCGCGGTGAGCATGTTAGCGGCTCTGTTCAATGACTGATCGTGTGGAAGACTAGCGTTCAGTCGTACCGATGAGCGCGGTGAGCATGTTAGCGGCTCTGTTCAATGACTGATCGTGTGGAAGACTAGCGTTCAGTCGTACCGATGAGCGCGGTGAGCATGTTAGCGGCTCTGTTCAATGACTGATCGTGTGGAAGACTAGCGTTCAGTCGTACCGATGAGCGCGGTGAGCATGTTAGCGGCTCTGTTCAATGACTGATCGTGTGGAAGACTAGCGTTCAGTCGTACCGATGAGCGCGGTGAGCATGTTAGCGGCTCTGTTCAATGACTGATCGTGTGGAAGACTAGCGTTCAGTCGTACCGATGAGCGCGGTGAGCATGTTAGCGGCTCTGTTCATTGACTGATCGTGTGGAAGACTAGCGTTCAGTCGTCCCGATGAGCGCGGTGAGCACGTTAGCGGCTCCGTTCAATGACTGATCGTGTGGAAGACTAGCGTTCAGTCGTCCCGATGAGCGCGGTGAGCACGTTAGCGGCTCCGTTCAATGACTGATCGTGTGGAGGACTAGCGTTCAGTCGTCCCGATTAGCGCGGTGAGCATGTTAGCGGCTCCGTTCAATGACTGATCGTGTGGAAGACTAGCGTTCAGTCGTCCCGATTAGCGCGGTGAGCATGTTAGCGGCTCCGTTCAATGACTGATAGTGTGGGGGACGAGCGTTCAATCATACCGATGAGCGCGTTAGCGGCTCCGTTCAATTACTTTTAGCGTGCGGAAGACTAGTGTTTAATCGTACCGATGAGTGCAGTGAGCACGTTAGCTGCTCCGTTCAGTGACTCAGCGTTCAGCGTGTGGAAGACTAGTGTTTAGTCGTACCGATGAGCGCGGTGAGCACGTTAGCGGCTCCGTTCAATGACTGATCGTGTGGAAGACTAGCGTTCAGTCGTACCGATGAGCGCGGTGAGCATGTTAGCGGCTCCGTTCAATGACTGATCGTGTGGAAGACTAGCGTTCAGTCGTCCCGATGAGCGCGGTGAGCACGTTAGCGGCTCCGTTCAATGACTGATCGTGTGGAGGACTAGCGTTCAGTCGTCCCGATTAGCGCGGTGAGCATGTTAGCGGCTCTGTTCAATGACTGATCGTGTGGAAGACTAGCGTTCAGTCGTACCGATGAGCGCGGTGAGCATGTTAGCGGCTCTGTTCATTGACTGATCGTGTGGAAGACTAGGTGTTTAATCGTACCGATGAGTGCAGTGAGCACGTTAGCTGCTCCGTTCAGTGACTCAGCGTTCAGCGTGTGGAAGACTAGTGTTTAGTCGTACCGATGAGCGTGGTGAGCATGTCAGCGGCTCCGTTCAATGACTGATCGTGTGGAAGACTAGCGTTCAGTTGTCCCGATGAGCGCGGTGAGCATGTTAGCGGCTCTGTTCAGTGACTCAGCGTGTGGAGGACTAGCGTTCAGTCGTACCGATGAGCGCGGTGAGCATGTTAGCGGCTCCGTTCAATGACTGATCGTGTGGAAGACTAGCGTTCAGTCGTACCGATGAGCGCAGTGAGCACGTTAGCGGCTCTGTTCAGTGACTCAGCGTGTGGAGGACTAGCGTTCAGTCGTACCGATGAGCGCAGTGAGCATGTTAGCGGCTCTGTTCAGTGACTCAGCGTGTGGAGGACTAGCGTTCAGTCGTACCGATGAGCGCGTTAGCGGCTCCATTCAGTTACTCTTAGCGTTCAGCATGTGGAAGACTAGCGTTCAGTCATACCGATGAGCGCGTTAGCGGCTCCATTCAGTTACTCTTAGCGTTCAGCATGTGGAAGACTAGCGCTCAGTCGTACCGATGAGCGCGTTAGCGGCTCCATTCAGTTACTTTTAGCGTTCAGCGTGCAGAAGACTAGTGTTCAGTCGTACCGATGAGCGCGGTGAGCACGTTAGCGGCTCTGTTCAGTGACTCAACGTTCAGCGTGTGGAGGACTAGTGTTTAGTCGTACCGATGAGCGCGGTGAGCACGTTAGCAGCTCTGTTCAGTGACTCAACGTTCAGCGTGTGGAGGACTAGTGTTCAGTCATACCGATGAGCGCGGTGAGCACGTTAGCGGCTCTGTTCAGTGACTCAACGTTCAGCGTGTGGAGGACTAGTGTTTAGTCGTACCGATGAGTGCAGTGAGCACGTTTGCGGCTCTGTTCAGTGACTAAGCGTTCAGCGTGTGGAGGACTAGTGTTTAGTCGTACCGATGAGCGCGGTGAGCACGTTAGCAGCTCTGTTCAGTGACTCAACGTTCAGCGTGTGGAGGACTAGTGTTCAGTCATACCGATGAGCGCGGTGAGCACGTTAGCGGCTCTGTTCAGTGACTCAACGTTCAGCGTGTGGAGGACTAGTGTTTAGTCGTACCGATGAGTGCAGTGAGCACGTTTGCGGCTCTGTTCAGTGACTAAGCGTTCAGCGTGTGGAGGACTAGTGTTCAGTCGTACCGATGAGTGCGGTGAGCATGTTAGCGGCTCTGTTCAATGACTGATCGTGTGGAAGACTAGCGTTCAGTCGTCCCGATTAGCGCGGTGAGCATGTTAGCGGCTCCGTTCAATGACTGATAGTGTGGGGGACGAGCGTTCAATCATACCGATGAGCGCGTTAGCGGCTCCGTTCAATTACTTTTAGCGTGCGGAAGACTAGTGTTTAATCGTACCGATGAGTGCAGTGAGCACGTTAGCTGCTCCGTTCAGTGACTCAGCGTTCAGCGTGTGGAAGACTAGTGTTTAGTCGTACCGATGAGCGTGGTGAGCATGTCAGCGGCTCCGTTCAATGACTGATCGTGTGGAAGACTAGCGTTCAGTTGTCCCGATGAGCGCGGTGAGCATGTTAGCGGCTCTGTTCAGTGACTCAGCGTGTGGAGGACTAGCGTTCAGTCGTACCGATGAGCGCGGTGAGCATGTTAGCGGCTCCGTTCAATGACTGATCGTGTGGAAGACTAGCGTTCAGTCGTACCGATGAGCGCAGTGAGCACGTTAGCGGCTCTGTTCAGTGACTCAGCGTGTGGAGGACTAGCGTTCAGTCGTACCGATGAGCGCAGTGAGCATGTTAGCGGCTCTGTTCAGTGACTCAGCGTGTGGAGGACTAGCGTTCAGTCGTACCGATGAGCGCGTTAGCGGCTCCATTCAGTTACTCTTAGCGTTCAGCATGTGGAAGACTAGCGTTCAGTCATACCGATGAGCGCGTTAGCGGCTCCATTCAGTTACTCTTAGCGTTCAGCATGTGGAAGACTAGCGCTCAGTCGTACCGATGAGCGCGTTAGCGGCTCCATTCAGTTACTTTTAGCGTTCAGCGTGCAGAAGACTAGTGTTCAGTCGTACCGATGAGCGCGGTGAGCACGTTAGCGGCTCTGTTCAGTGACTCAACGTTCAGCGTGTGGAGGACTAGTGTTTAGTCGTACCGATGAGCGCGGTGAGCACGTTAGCAGCTCTGTTCAGTGACTCAACGTTCAGCGTGTGGAGGACTAGTGTTCAGTCATACCGATGAGCGCGGTGAGCACGTTAGCGGCTCTGTTCAGTGACTCAACGTTCAGCGTGTGGAGGACTAGTGTTTAGTCGTACCGATGAGTGCAGTGAGCACGTTTGCGGCTCTGTTCAGTGACTAAGCGTTCAGCGTGTGGAGGACTAGTGTTCAGTCGTACCGATGAGTGCGGTGAGCATGTTAGCGGCTCTGTTCAATGACTGATCGTGTGGAAGACTAGCGTTCAGTCGTCCCGATTAGCGCGGTGAGCATGTTAGCGGCTCCGTTCAATGACTGATAGTGTGGGGGACGAGCGTTCAATCATACCGATGAGCGCGTTAGCGGCTCCGTTCAATTACTTTTAGCGTGCGGAAGACTAGTGTTTAATCGTACCGATGAGTGCAGTGAGCACGTTAGCTGCTCCGTTCAGTGACTCAGCGTTCAGCGTGTGGAAGACTAGTGTTTAGTCGTACCGATGAGCGTGGTGAGCATGTCAGCGGCTCCGTTCAATGACTGATCGTGTGGAAGACTAGCGTTCAGTTGTCCCGATGAGCGCGGTGAGCATGTTAGCGGCTCTGTTCAGTGACTCAGCGTGTGGAGGACTAGCGTTCAGTCGTACCGATGAGCGCGGTGAGCATGTTAGCGGCTCCGTTCAATGACTGATCGTGTGGAAGACTAGCGTTCAGTCGTACCGATGAGCGCAGTGAGCACGTTAGCGGCTCTGTTCAGTGACTCAGCGTGTGGAGGACTAGCGTTCAGTCGTACCGATGAGCGCAGTGAGCATGTTAGCGGCTCTGTTCAGTGACTCAGCGTGTGGAGGACTAGCGTTCAGTCGTACCGATGAGCGCGTTAGCGGCTCCATTCAGTTACTCTTAGCGTTCAGCATGTGGAAGACTAGCGTTCAGTCATACCGATGAGCGCGTTAGCGGCTCCATTCAGTTACTCTTAGCGTTCAGCATGTGGAAGACTAGCGCTCAGTCGTACCGATGAGCGCGTTAGCGGCTCCATTCAGTTACTTTTAGCGTTCAGCGTGCAGAAGACTAGTGTTCAGTCGTACCGATGAGCGCGGTGAGCACGTTAGCGGCTCTGTTCAGTGACTCAACGTTCAGCGTGTGGAGGACTAGTGTTTAGTCGTACCGATGAGCGCGGTGAGCACGTTAGCAGCTCTGTTCAGTGACTCAACGTTCAGCGTGTGGAGGACTAGTGTTCAGTCATACCGATGAGCGCGGTGAGCACGTTAGCGGCTCTGTTCAGTGACTCAACGTTCAGCGTGTGGAGGACTAGTGTTTAGTCGTACCGATGAGTGCAGTGAGCACGTTTGCGGCTCTGTTCAGTGACTAAGCGTTCAGCGTGTGGAGGACTAGTGTTCAGTCGTACCGATGAGTGCGGTGAGCATGTTAGCGGCTCTGTTCAATGACTGATCGTGTGGAAGACTAGCGTTCAGTCGTCCCGATTAGCGCGGTGAGCATGTTAGCGGCTCCGTTCAATGACTGATAGTGTGGGGGACGAGCGTTCAATCATACCGATGAGCGCGTTAGCGGCTCCGTTCAATTACTTTTAGCGTGCGGAAGACTAGTGTTTAATCGTACCGATGAGTGCAGTGAGCACGTTAGCTGCTCCGTTCAGTGACTCAGCGTTCAGCGTGTGGAAGACTAGTGTTTAGTCGTACCGATGAGCGTGGTGAGCATGTCAGCGGCTCCGTTCAATGACTGATCGTGTGGAAGACTAGCGTTCAGTTGTCCCGATGAGCGCGGTGAGCATGTTAGCGGCTCTGTTCAGTGACTCAGCGTGTGGAGGACTAGCGTTCAGTCGTACCGATGAGCGCGGTGAGCATGTTAGCGGCTCCGTTCAATGACTGATCGTGTGGAAGACTAGCGTTCAGTCGTACCGATGAGCGCAGTGAGCACGTTAGCGGCTCTGTTCAGTGACTCAGCGTGTGGAGGACTAGCGTTCAGTCGTACCGATGAGCGCAGTGAGCATGTTAGCGGCTCTGTTCAGTGACTCAGCGTGTGGAGGACTAGCGTTCAGTCGTACCGATGAGCGCGTTAGCGGCTCCATTCAGTTACTCTTAGCGTTCAGCATGTGGAAGACTAGCGTTCAGTCATACCGATGAGCGCGTTAGCGGCTCCATTCAGTTACTCTTAGCGTTCAGCATGTGGAAGACTAGCGCTCAGTCGTACCGATGAGCGCGTTAGCGGCTCCATTCAGTTACTTTTAGCGTTCAGCGTGCAGAAGACTAGTGTTCAGTCGTACCGATGAGCGCGGTGAGCACGTTAGCGGCTCTGTTCAGTGACTCAACGTTCAGCGTGTGGAGGACTAGTGTTTAGTCGTACCGATGAGCGCGGTGAGCACGTTAGCAGCTCTGTTCAGTGACTCAACGTTCAGCGAGTGGAGGACTAGTGTTCAGTCATACTGATGAGCGCGGTGAGCACGTTAGCGGCTCTGTTCAGTGACTCAACGTTCAGCGTGTGGAGGACTAGTGTTTAGTCGTACCGATGAGTGCAGTGAGCACGTTTGCGGCTCTGTTCAGTGACTAAGCGTTCAGCGTGTGGAGGACTAGTGTTCAGTCGTACCGATGAGTGCAGTGAGCACGTTAGCGGCTCTGTTCAGTGACTCAGCGTTCAGCGTTTGGAGGACTAGTGTTCAGTCATACCGATGAGCGCGGTGAGCACGTTAGCGGCTCTGTTCAGTGACTCAACGTTCAGCGTGTGGAGGACTAGTGTTCAGTCATACCGATGAGTGCAGTGAGCACGTTAGCGGCTCTGTTCAGTGACTCAGCGTTCAGCGTGTGGAGGACTAGTGTTCAGTCATACCGATGAGCGTGGTGAGCACGTTAGCGGCTCTGTTCAGTGACTCAACGTTCAGCGTGTGGAGGACTAGTGTTTAGTCGTACCGATGAGTGCAGTGAGCACGTTAGCGGCTCTGTTCAGTGACTCAGCGTTCAGCGTGTGGAGGACTAGTGTTCAGTCATACCGATGAGCGCGGTGAGCATGTTAGCGGCTCTGTTCAGTGACTGATCGTGTGGAGGACTAGCGTTTAGTCGTACCGATGAGTGCGGTGAGCATGTTAGCGGCTCCGTTCAATGACTGATCGTGTGGAAGACTAGCGTTCAGTCGTCCCGATGAGCGCGGTGAGCATGTTAGCGGCTCCGTTCAATGACTGATAGTGTGGGGGACGAGCGTTCAATCATACCGATGAGCGCGTTAGCGGCTCCGTTCAATTACTTTTAGCGTGCGGAAGACTAGTGTTTAGTCGTACCGATGAGTGCAGTGAGCACGTTAGCGGCTCTGTTCAGTGACTCAGCGTTCAGCGTGTGGAGGACTAGTGTTTAGTTGTACCGATGAGCGTGGTGAGCATGTCAGCGGCTCCGTTCAATGACTGATCGTGTGGAAGACTAGCGTTCAATCGTCCCGATGAGCGCGGTGAGCATGTTAGCGGCTCTGTTCAGTGACTCAGCGTGTGAAGGACTAGCGTTCAGTCGTACCGATGAGCGCGGTGAGCATGTTAGCGGCTCCGTTCAGGGACTCAGCGTGTGAAGGACTAGCATTCAGTCGTACCGATGAGCGCGGTGAACGCGTTAGCGGCTCTGTTCAGGGACTCAGCGTGTGGAGGACTAGCGTTCAGTTGTACCGATGAGCGCGGTGAGCACGTTAGCGGCTACGTTCAGTGACTCAGCGTTCAGCGTGTGGAGGACTAGCGTTCAGTCGTACCGATGAGCGCGGTGAGCACGTTAGCGGCCCCGAACTTCTTAAGCTCGTCGATCCAGCGCGGCAGCGAGCTGAAGGTGTCCCGGCGGCTGATGTCGTAGGCGATCATGGCCCCGTGTGCGCTGCGGTAGTAGCTCTGCGTGATATTGCGGAAGCGCTCCTGCCCCGCCGTGTCCCACACCTGCATCTGCACACACACACACACAGAGAGAGAGAGAGAGTCAGTGCACAAGGTTCACTGATCACTGCTGCTCCTCTGACAGAGAGGCATGGAAACCAAACACACCTGCGGCGCTGTGGCCTCACGTGAGAGAACACTGGCTCACTGCATACTGAACAATAAACATGATATACTGAACAGTGTACATGACATACTGAACACTACATACTACACTACAGTACTGCATACTGAACAGTGTACATGACATACTGAACACTACATATTACACTACTGCATACTGAACACTACATACTACACTACACTACATGACATACTGAACACTACATACTACACTACACTACATGACATACTGAACACTACATACTACACTACACTACTGCATACTGAACACTACATGACATACTGAACACTATATACTGAACACTGTACACTACATGACATACTGAACACTACATACTGAACACTGTACATGACATACTGAACACTACATACTGAACACTGTACACTACATGACATACTGAACACTACATGACATACTGAACACTACATACTAAACACTGTACACTACATGTCATACTGAACACTACATGACATACTGAACACTACATACTACACTAAAGTACTACATACTGAACACTGTACATGACATACTGAACACTGTACACTACATGACATAGTAAATACTGTACACTACATTCTGCCTCATGAACATTGTATACGGCCTAATGCTGTAATAAACTACATTGCAGAACACTGTACACTGCTTATGGTACATTTACCACTGTACACTATGGTAAATGGACTGAATTTATATAGCGCTTTCAAAGCCACCAAAAGCGCATTACAATTTGCCTCACATTCACCCATTTATACACCGACGGCGATCCATGGTGTTAGCCATACAAGGCTACATCCAGCTCGTCGGGAGCAGCTGGGGTTAGGTGTCTCACACACACACACACAGCTGGGGTTAGGTGTCTTGCTCATGGACACCTCGACACTTGGTCAGGTGTTTACACTTGGTAAACCCTTCTATTGACTATAAGTAATATAAAGCAAGTAACATAACTCTCATTAGAGTATTAGTAGACTGGTAGCGTTAGAGTAAGTTCACATGTAGTTACAAAGTCACTTATAGTCAACAGAATGTACAAAAGGCACCATCAAAATACAGTGCAACCCTTTATACTTCTGGATTCACACACACGCATATATTAGAGATAAAGCCTAGCATGTTTGCGTGTGATGCAGGAAGCAGCAGTGTTTTCCCCCTGACGTGCGACACTAACACACACTGAGAGGGTAAACCTGCTCGACTGGCTGAGCCGGCTCAGTGTAACAGCCACACGTGCAGCAGCAGGATCACACTGACCTGCGGATACACACACTAACATCACGGACACGAGCGGCGGCGTGACCCCTGACCTTCACTCTGCGGCCCTCGATGCTGAGCGTGCGCACGGTGAAGTCCACGCCGATGGTGTTCTGCTGGCTCTCGCAGAAGCGGCCCGTGCTGAAGCTCTGCACCAGGCAGGTCTTGCCCACGTTCGAGTCCCCGATGAGGATGATCTTGAAGAGGAAGTCGAAGGAGTCGTCCTGAGGATCCATGGGTCAGGATCCCATAGCTCTCTCACACACACACTCACACAGAGAGAGAGAGAGGTCTGCTGTCAGTCTCGCTGCGCTGCTGCTCTCACCTTCCTCCTCAACCCGGTTCCACAGGTGTGACCGCCACCCGCTCAGGTGCATTCTGGGTAACGTAGTGCAGCCACTGCCTGCACATGTTTTGCTGTTTACATGAATTTAATATCCTGCAAAAGAAAATGTTGCCTTTAAATAGTTCAGAAAATATTGATCATTCTCAAACTAAACCTTATATGTTAAAAATTATGAGAGGTAACTTTTTTTTTTGTTGCATTTTAACTGTTTAAAAATATTGTATTTACGTTCTTAATGTAAAACAAGTATGGATTTGGTTATGAAACATGTTTGTGTAAATTATTTTGCAATTTGATACGACTTTTGTATCTTGAATGACCTCGATGTACCTTGTAGCTAATAATATTATATATATAACCCCTGCCCTTTTTCAAAATTAATCAAAAGTGCCCTTCTCAAACAAATATCAATGATAATATTGAGGTCAATAAAACAAAATGCATTTGATTATAATTAACATGACAATGTGTACAATTCACGTTTATTTTTACGTGTCTGTCAGTGTGAGGCGTCGCTGCAATAACCTGTTGCTATAGGTTACGCGTCACTTGCGTCAAGTCCCTTACGAAAGTAACCTGCAGGATTATTATGCAGATTTCCTACAGGATTCTCAGCTCATTTTCCTGAAGGAATGCCTGCATGAGTTATGATCCGGGAATTACATCCCTGCAGGGTTTTAAAATATAATAATCACAGTTCCTGCAGAACATGAACATGTGATTATGCAGGACTTTGCAAGTTGTCTTCTGCTGGATACATGCCGGGGAAATAACTTCACAACAATGTTTTTCACAAATTATTTATTTTATTTATTGTCCAATTCACAGCCACATGTTACTCTATCAGTTAAATGAAGCCTCTACACTGTTTTCCTGAAGAAAAAGGGAAAAAAACTGTTTACACAAGCTGAAACTAAACATGTTGAGTTGTATTAACATATAATCTTAAGTGGGTGCAGTAGACAAATCAAGTTTACATTAGAAGTCTTTACTGAAAATCATTAGTTCATATTCTAAAAATGTTTTGAGTACAGGTGTACTAGGTACCCAGCATTCATTGCAATTTTAATTTTTCACTTTTCATGACTTTTACTCTTTATTGATGACAACATCAGTATGCAGTCATCACTGGATCACTTTACTCTTGGCGTTTTTGCTATAACAATTGTGCCTTTTGAACACACAGGTAAAGCAGCCAGAGAAAATCTAATTCAAATCTCAAGGGCAAGAGCCCAACTAAAGCCTACACTTATCACCATTATGGTGACTATTTTTTAATTAAATTAAACAATAATTCATCAACATCTCAATACCGTCTGCTGCCGAGACCTGTGCTCGTCCCGCCAGGTGTAGAGCCCCTTGGAAGCACGTTAGACGCGGGTCTTTTCACGTGACCAGGCAGGTTTTTGAATACCAGTGGTTTCTGCCTTTTGATTTGTGTGGTGTTTGAACCCCTCCCCTTCCTTATGAAACTAAACATACCAAGTAATCTCTGCTAAACCTGATTAGTGCAATGAATATTTCAGCTAAATAGTACAAACAACTAATGTTGTTAAGTAATGATAGCAGGTTTTTACTAAACATAAAAGAATAAGTAATGATCACTCGTAAGTTTAAGTAGAAGCAAAATCTGGGTTTACAGTGTGTGTGTGAGAGAGAGAGAGAGCGAGCATGAGTGTGTGTGTGTGTGTGAGAGAGAGAGAGAGAGAGCATGAGCGTGTGTGTGTACATGTTTTTCTATCCCGGTGGGGACTTAAACCTGAATGCACACAGACTCATGGGGACTCGTGTCACTGTGGGCCTAAACTGAGGTCCTCATGGGTAAACACGCTTATAACTCATACAGAATTAGTTTTTTTGGAAATGTAAAAATGCAGAAAGTTGTGTGTGATAGGTAGGTTTAGGGGTAGGGTTAGTGTTAGGGGACAGAATATACAGTTTGTACAGTATAAAAACCATTACGTCTATGGAGAGTCCCCACAAAGGTAGTAAGCCAGACATGAGTGTGTGTAAGAGAGAGAGAGCATGTGTGTGTGTGTGTGTAAGAGAGAGAGAGAGCATGAGTGTGTGTGTGTGTGTGTGTGTGTGTGTGTGTGTGTGTGTGTGTGTGTGTGTGTGTGTGTGTGTAAGAGAGAGAGAGCATGTGTGTGTGTGTGTGTGTGTAAGAGAGAGAGAGAGAGCATGACTGTGTGTGTGTGTGTGTGTGTGTGTGTGTGTGTGTGTGTGTGAGACCATGAGCGTGTGTGTGAGAGAGAGAGCATGAGTGTGTGTGTGTGTGTAAGAGAGAGAGAGCATGAGCGTGTGTGTGTGTAAAGCCCCGTTCACACTACAAGCGACTTTGTCGCTGCATGTCGCCAGTGGCTGGCGATGAGGTCGCTAGTGGGAGTTCCCACTACTGGTTGCCTTTATGAATGACATCCAATGATGTGGAGAAGGATCACACGCGCTCCGCTCCTATTGGTTGTCGCTCCCGAAAGTCGCTCCCCATTTGCATAAAGTTAACCCTCTGGTTATCTTTGGGGTCTTTTTAACCCGCAAATGACTTTTGGTCAAATTAAAAAAAATGTTCTCTTTGTCCAAATGGTATGAAACTTTCTACAGCTGGTGGTGGTTGAGGAGATTCCCCCTTCCATGTGAAGCGCTTTGAGTGCCTAGAAAAGCGCTATATAAATGTAATGAATTATTATTATTACAGCTCTTAACACTTCATAGATCTACAAAAGAAAAAAAAAATTGGAATGATATCTGTTATTATGTTGCCGTGAAAAAAATAGTCACACTTGTTGTCTTCGGGGTCCCTGGAGACCCCGCATAGTAAATATATAATATTCATCATCAAAATCAGAAACAACGCAGATCACATGGACAGAAATGAAATGGCACACTTCCAACAATGTAAAAAACATCCACAATGCAAAATTATCATGCTCGCCACACACACACACACACACACACACACAACCACACATACACATACACACAGAAATACATTTGTAAGGCTATAAAAAAAGTCTTATAATTTGTCAAATAAAATGCAGAACCACCACAAATATAAATTGGTGACACTGACACAACGAAAATACACACACACACACACACAGAATGTGTGTCTGCAGAAGTCATGCAACGTACTACGCATACTGCCTGCAGTGCACTGACTCGTGAACACCTCCAGTGCACCACCAATTGTTGTTCATATTTGTTCAAAAAACAAAAATTTCCCAATCAGTTTTTTTAACAAAATAATTTTTATATTACAACCATTTTATTTTTTTACTGCTTTATTTGATCATTTGTTATTGCTGTTCAGTTCATTGCACTTTTGTTTTTTTTTCTCAATATGTAATATAACTGTTCATTTCTGTTATTTTTTGTTCTGTTACAGTTTGTAACTGAAACGTTGATTAAAAATGATAGAATTATATTAAAAACAGATAATTGAAATAAATGATAAAATCTAAAGACTCCAAGATTTTTTGTAACATCTTGTTCAGGTTTGATTCTAATCATAAAGTAACATTATTGAAGAACTTTTTTCAATACAAAATATGCTAAACTTAATACAAAATATGCTAAACTTTGACCAAAAGTATATAATTCTTTTTTATAATTTTGATTTTAAAATATTTATATATGAATCCAACTCAATCCAACTGAATCCAACTTGTGAAAAGATGTATTTTGGTTAATCAAACAGCAAATAGCATATAATGGAGCTCTATAGCAATATAGTGGTTAAAGTGAATTTTTTTATTTTAAAACTTCATTTTCCAAAAAAAGGGCAAAAATCTTACATTAAATCATATACAATTATCCATGTTATCCCCATAAATGAAAGTTAGAAATCTGGGTCCTTTATAAAGTGAATTTTACATAAAATGCTGTTTTTTGTAAAAAAAACTATTTATTTAAATATTTATTTATTTATTTTTAGAAATTTAAAAAATATCAAAAATCCTCCCAAAACTGCACAAATGTTGAGTAAAAACATTAATAAACAGAGTAAAATTACATTTGTAAAAAAATTTTTATTATACTGTTACAAAATGCAATGTTATTGTCTGGGGTCCCTGGAGACCCCAAAGATAACAAGTGTAGACCCTAAATGAAGATAATCAGAGGGTTAAACCGATCTCAACTTTGTCGCGTCGCCAGACACGCCCATCCGGTCGCTGTCGCGCTTGTCGCCGGAAGTCGCCCACTCACCATTGAAATGAATGGTATCGCGTCGCTTGGTCGCGTGTAGTGTGAACGGGGCTTAAGAGAGAGAGCATGAGCGTGTGTGTGTGTGTGTGTGAGAGAGAGAGCATGAGCGTGTGTGTGTGTGTGTGTGTGTGTGTGTGTGTGTGTGTGTGTGTGTGAGAGAGAGAGAGAGAGAGCATGAGCGTGTGTGTGTGTGTGTGTATGTGTGAGAGAGAGAGAGCATGAGCGTGTGTGTGTGTGTGTGTGAGAGAGAGAGCATGAGCGTGTGTGTGTGTGTGTGTGTGTGTGAGAGAGAGAGAGAGAGAGCATGAGCGTGTGTGTGTGTGTGTATGTGTGAGAGAGAGAGAGCATGAGCGTGTGTGTGTGTGTGTAAGAGAGAGTGTTGTTATGTTTCAGCTAGCGTTGCATTCAAAAGAAAAAGTGGACGATAGAGATGAATCATCTTTAGCCGATCTCGGCATATTTATTATTCGCGCTGCAGACACATCAGTCTCACCAGCCTGAATGAACTGCATAAAGTCAGAAAGGACAAACATAATAACGCAAACGCGTCCTACATAGTTTGTACTTGAGTGTCCTCTTGTGGCATAAACATATGCTATACACAGAACAGGATTTACATTACACAATATACAACTTAGGACATAATGAGCATATTTTAACACCCCCACTTGTACTCAGGTTGTTATATTCTTAAACAAACAAAGAAAATAAATAAAATGAAATGAATGTGGACTTCTGTTATACACATCAATCAGAAAACAGAGCACCTGCAAACCTCTTCAGTTTCAACTTATTCACAGGTTTGGTCATTACATCAGCAATCATATTGTCAGTAGAACAATACATTAAAATCACTCTTCCCTCATCCACAGTAGACCTGATAAAGTGGTACTTTATGTCGATATGCTTACATCTTCGCCTGTTTACAGGATTGTTGGCAAGAGCGATTGTTCCCTGATTGTCCTCATATACTATCGTTTGTGTGTACTCATAGTTATCTATACCTCCCAGTAACTGCTCTAGGTATAGACACTCCTGTATGGTTGAAGCCAGTGCCATATATTCTGCCTCACACGTTGATAGTGCAACCGTAGGTTGTTTTCTAGTCTTCCATGAGACTAGGGAGCTGTTCTGACTAAGGCTCACACAGTATCCCGTGGTACTGCGTCTGTCACTGGTATCAGCCGCCCAATCAGCATCACTGTAGGCCTTTATACCTAGCTTTTCATGGTCGTTTCTCCTGAAACTTAACCCTTTCTCTGCTGTGCCTTTGAGATATCTAAGTACGTGTTTCACCGTGACCCACTGCTCCTCTGTAGGCTCAGCAAAATACTGTGACAACCTGCTCACTACAAAGCTCAAATCTGGTCTGGTGCACGTAGTCAGGTATATAAGACTTCCCACGGCCTCTCTGTACACCCTGCTATCTTCCATCTTTACTGCATCCGCAGTATACTCGAGCTTTTGCTCACAGGGTGTTTCTCTGGTCCTACAGTCTTGCATATTGAAACGCTGTAGTATCTTATGTTGTTACTGGTAAAGGAAATTCTTTCACACTGCTCTGTGACATTCTCCTTCTCTGGGTGAATTATCTATTAGAGATCATAAATGCAACAACAAATATATTCAAAGTGTTTTTATTGATAGACTTCATTCGAGTAGAATTAAACATTACTATATTTTTAAAGATTTTAACCCGGAGATTCTCAAGGTGAAGGAATTGAGAATGAATTATCTTACCTTTCCAAGTCTCCCTAAAGTGAAAGAAATTCATTTTAAAATTATAAATGACATATACCCATCTAAAGAATTCCTGAAATCTAAATTTGATATCGGAGAAAACTCTTGTCAATTTTGTGAAACTGAAATTGAAACCACAGAACATATTTTTTATTGTTGTAATCACTCAAAGTTAATTTGGTCTCAATTGTACAGTAAACTGTCATGTATTATTATTACATGTGTAAACCCACCTTGAATACAAACAAATCAAATTTGGTATACTAAAGAAAGATTGTTCACAGCACTACTTGCTAAATACTTCATTCACAAATGCAGATTTTTGAGACCTCATTGCTGTTACTTGTTGTATCTTGCAATTATGTCTGCCCTCTGAGAATTGTAAATTAATAGTGTTTGTTCAATACCTATTTTGTCTGTTAAAATTGAGTTTCAAGTAATAAAAAAAAAAAAAAAAAAAAGTTCACATGATGCTGTTTTTTCTTTTTTCCAAGAAAATATCAATAACTGACAATGAAAGAGTATGAGATTCTAATAGGCAAAACTGTAATGTTTGGGAGCAGAAACTGTAGAACTTTCCAGCAGGTATAACTAGTGTTTATATATACCTGTATATAAATATATATTACAAGTGATGGATGGTATTATTATGTTCTGGGGTATTTGAGAAAATATGTGTGTACATTTACCAACTTATTCCAAATGAAGGCATATATTATCTTATATTTCATATAAGATATGAAATATAAGATAATATATATTATATTATATTTCTCCAGACTATTTGTCTGCGTATGCTTAATAGTTACAGTGTGCAGGCGTCTCGCCTTTAAGTTTCATTTTCATTTAGTTGATGTTCAGGACTGGTACGCCTTGCCGGTGAGTGACTATAAAATAGCATTGCTAGTAATTCAGGTCAAAAATGTATATCACATGATTGTGTAATTGTATTAGTTAATTCTGGTGTTTGTGTTTCATTGCAAGTTTACAACCTAACCTAACTAATGTCACTAATATCCAACTGACAGTCTAGCGTAGCGGTAGCATTCAGGCTACCTAGTTTGTGGATGAGTATTTATATTGTGTAACTTATGTGTGCGCAATAAAACCTCAGTGACTCCGCCGTACTTGTTCTGAAACCCTTCCAGTGGGGAGTTTATTGAGCTATAGCAAATAATAGAGAACTGGACAGAAACCATTTATACCATATATTACAGTATTAATATGCAATAGCTACAAATGTTGTTAACAAGTTAAACATACATGTTAAAACAGTGTATGAATTAATAAAGAAAAGTGCATATTATGTGTCATTGTGGGATTGGCAATATGACCAAAATCATATTTCAAGATGAGACATTTTAACAATAACACCAGGTGTGTAAATGCAGTTCTGTTCAGGTTTATTTAAAGTAAACTGGATTATATTACAATAATTGATCAAGTGTTTACAGTATGATCAGATGATCTGGGTTTATATATTTCACATTTATCAATAAATTGACATTTATCAATTTTACAACAAATAACATGTTTTATCGAATGATACATTTCATTGAAAGGTAATTTTGATAGTAATAATAAAGATGATTTATGTGACACTACAATAAGAACTGAATATAGTTTGAGAAAAGCACAGATACACACTGTCACTCACCGTGACTCACACACACACACACACACACACACTGATCTTTCTGTCTATATGAGGATTCATTACACACATTTATTCTGACATGATATTTTACTGTGTTATTAATGTAATGAAGAGACAATAAGAGACTCTATAACATCTCAGTGTTACTGGTTTATCATGCAGCCCAAAGCATTATGGGTAGAATCTCTCTACAGTCTGTTCTCACTCATCAACACAGTTTCACTGATGATCCATAATAAACCCCAAACCATTTATAAAACCTAAACCCAGGATAGAGTGTGTCAGTGAATGTGGTCTGGACTGTGTGGATGAGGCTCATTGTGTCTCTGTTGACGCTGTAGAAGGACAGAGTTCCTGCACTGGGATCCACACACACTCCTATTCTGCTGCTGATGGGCTTTACAGGGAGTTTAGTCTTTATGTTATTGTGTTTGAATGAGTAACCAGAGGAAGAGCAGAAAAAACTCCAGGACTGATCATTACGTCCAAACACACACTCATCACCCGATCCCTTTCTGCTGATGCTCTTATATGACACTGATATACACACACTCCCACTCCACTCAATCTCCCAGTAACAGCGTCCACACACACTCTCTCTACACAACACCTGAAGACACACGTCAAATCTGTCTGGATGATCAGGATACGACTGAAGCTCCGTAATAGAGTTAGTAATCACTCTGTTCTCCTCAGACAGACGGATGTATTTACTCACAGTGTTCAGATCCAGAGTGAGCGGAAGAGAATCTGATGGAGAGAAAACACATCAGTGAATTACAGACACTTTCTATCTTCAGTCTTAACCCTCTGGGGTCTGAGGTGTTTTTGGGGCCCTTGAGATGTTTTGACATGCCCTGACATTTGTGCTTATTTCAGCTACTTAAAACATACCATTGGCCAACATATAAATTTGCTGTATTCAGCACAAACTCTGCTACAATAATATCTGAGCAAAATGGATGTACATGTTTGCATTTTGTAGAAAAAAAATATTATGCGTGGTTAGTACGTTTTGGGGGGAAAAATTTCACCGCAATAAGGCCATTTAACACATACTGAATAGTTGTCCACAAGACTTTTGAGTTACTATTCTTGTAGGCTAGAATTTTTACTACAAAATGATGTGAAAATCATTCTGACCACTCTTTCACAAACAACAATATAACAATTTAAAATTTGTGAGTCAGTTTTTGTGTCAGCACTGCTGTATGCGTGGGAGTGTTAATGTCCATGAATATTAATGTGATTTACACCAGGGGAGACTAAAGACACTCCCCCAATGGCTAATGCCCCATCAAGGTGCTGTGAGCCTGAACAAAGAATGATGAACTAAGAATGATTCACTGATGAATAAAAAGAACAGCATTTATTCAAAATAGAAATATGTCCTAACAATGTAAAGACATAAAGTCATTCCTATCACTCAACACATCACAAGAAAAAAAAAAAGACCAAACTTGTTTTTTTTTTTTATAAAAAAAAATATTTTTATTAATCTAAGAATCCTGATAAAACTATCACAGGTTAAAAAAAAATTAAGCAGCCTGAGCATTGGTGTTGTGGCACAGAATTGACACAGCACTTTCTGAAAAAATGGTTTGAATAGACTCATGGGCGAATGCGAGTCTACAGAGCTCAGTTGCGGTCCAGTTTCCCGTGCGGGAAGGAATCGCAGTGTCTGTGGAGCCATGTCCACATCCGTCTCTGTTTTCCATGACAGAGTGACTGCCTGTTGCTCGTCTGCTTGTTTGCCTTGGCTCTCTTCGGAACTGCTTGGACATGTTCATTGTCACATCTGTTATAAAAAAGAAGAAAGAAAAAGTGTGAGCATGCTGATAACACAATCAAAGAAACTGTATTATTATCATTATTAATGATTATTATCATTAATTTCACACAAGAATAGGAACTTTTACATTATGACGATGTAAACACAAATAGGCTATATTTCATCTGTAAAATATTACGTCTATAAACTTACTCAGTATGATTCTCGATCGCACTGAGAACTGAACGACACCTGCGTGTCCCTCTGCGAGGTGCTGGAGAATGAGAACGTGATGCAGACACATTCCTAAAAAAAATTTTAAAAATAAAAAACTGTTAGCATACATTATCCAAAGTAAACTGATGGACAATTAATGGGTATGGATGCACAATGTATGTATATATCTGTTGATGGGCCATGGGACGGAGACATATCTATTGATGGGCCGTAGACCGCATCACCGCGAGTATCTGTTTATGGCCCGACCGCACGTATTTACTGATACACTCAATGAACGGATATCGCGAACGACACATCACTACATGTCAAACATTTTCACATCACTACATGTCAAACATTTACACATGTATTCACAAACATCTGTGCATAAGGCAGTAAGCATGATAAGTAGTGTCAAAACTGAACATTTATATATCTGTTGATGGGCCATATGGGACGGAGAAATATTGATGGGCCGTAAAACGCGTCACCGTGAGTATCTGTTTATGGCCCATATAGACCGCACGCATTTAGGGATACACAATGAACGGATTGTTCGCGAATGACACATCACTACATTTCAAACATTTGCAGCTGTATTCACAAACATCTGTGCATAAGGCAGTATTTACTGATGATAAGTAGTGTCATAGGCTAACCAAAACTGAACATGTATAAAAAATATATTGTATTTAGACAGTATCACATATTTTACCGGAGTCTGAAATATATTTCTCTCAATCACATTATATAACCTAAGCAGTTATTCGCAAACAAAATGCATTACACATAAGGCAGTATTTACGCATGATAAGTAGTGTCATAGGCTAACCAAAACTGAACATTTATACATAAAAAATATATTGTATTTAGACAGTAGGCTATCACATATTTTACCAGAGGCTGAAATATATTTCACTAAATCATTATATAACCTAAGCAGTTATTTGCAAACAAAATACATTACGCATAAGGCAGTATTTTAGCATGATAATCAGTGTCATAAGCTAATCAAAACTGAGTGAAATATATGTAATATATATATATACAAATGTGTTTAGAGAGTATCACATTTAAAAAGTTTACACGAGCGTACACGAATGTTAGGGATATTGTGAGGTAATCTTTCCTATGTCAAAAGCTAGCCAAAACTAGGCAAAATATAGTCTGAAAATTCATTTGAGCTCTATATGATCAGAAAAGGAATTATATAACACTAAACAACTTACTCCGACCTTGTATCCTCGGCGGGGTCAATTTCTTCAAAATGCAGCCGTTCGTCGAGTTGCAATCTTCCTCTGAGGAAAAGGTGAATTCTTCCTCGCTGTCCAGAATCATCTGACGGGCCTCTTTACCAGAGTAGCGTGCCTTCTTCAAAACGCGATGAACTATCAGTGAATCTGATGAAGAAACTTCGTGTGTTTATGGCATTGATCGCTGGGCGTGTCCGCGTGTGAGATGCATAGATCACCGATTTACATGTGAACAGTGCGGGGGGCGTGGCGGCCTCGGCTCATTACAGATAATGAGGGGAGAGCGAAAAATCTGTACCTCTCCTTGGTTTCAAACGGATTACATAAACTGGAAATATTTATTTTTTTAATAAATTACTTAATTTAAAAGAAGAGAATACAAGCTTTAAAAAGGACATATCTCTCGTATCTCTGTGACAAGTATTGACTTAGTTACAGTTCATTTTTCGGACGCGTTTCAGAATGGACTTCACTGACAGAGAGAACGCAAAACTCACATTATGTTTATTTTTCTTTATTTGACGGAAAGCACAACACTTTGTTTTTATTGTGAGAATCCACAAAAAAAATAGAGACTTAACAGGATCTAATGATGTACAACACTTATATGTAAGATCAAAATCAACCGAGTATTTTTAGTCTCTTTTGCACTGATAAGAAAAAAAGCGAGCAGATCACGCCGGCGTGATTGCCGACCCCAGTGAGTTAAGTTCAGATCTGACAAGCTCATTTATTTCAACGATAATAAAACACTAAAGATAATAAAGCCCCGACTGCTCTGGCCACTGCTGGTCTATGACGTGCCAATAACCACCGTTGAATGCTTCGAGAGGAAAGTCAGCTGTTCCCTGCGGAAGTGGTTAGCCTCAGTAATATTGCCTTGTACGGGAGGAAGAACAAGCTAAAACTGCCCTTCAGCAGACTGAAGGAAGAGTTTATGGTTACCCGATCAAGAGAGGTGCTACTGTAAAGAGACTCCAGTGACATCAAGGTCTCTTCGGCAGGCATAGAGGTCAGAAACGGCAGGAAGTGGAAGGCCCAAGAGGCAGTAGTCACGGCTGCAACACAGTGAGCTGGTGGGGGCAGTGGCATCTGGACGGGCAGGACTCGGGGGCAATCCAAGACCTTGCTTTAACAAGGCCCAGGGAAAGGAAAGGCAACAGCTGATCCAAGATGAGGTCCGAGCTGGGGTGGAAGAAGCCCGCTGCAGTAGGACAGTAGGGATGCGGCAGCAGGGAGCATGGACCCGATGGGAGAAGGTGGCAGACCGGAAAATATCGTGGACAGAATTGTGGAAGTCTGAGGCACACCGGATCAAATTCCTGGTTCAGTCTGTCTATGATTTCCTCCCCAGTCCATCCAATCTCTTTCACTGGGGCCTGGCAGACACACCACTGTGCCCACTCTTGTCAGAGAGGAGGTTCATTGGAGCACATCTTGAGCTGCTGCCCAAAAGCGTGTATAGAGTGTATATGTGAGTGTGTGTGTGTGAGCGAGAGAGTGTGTGTGTATATGTGAGTGTGTGTGTGAGAGAGAGAGAGAGAGAGAGAGAGTGTGTGTATATGTGAGTGTGTGTGAGAGAGAGAGAGAGTGTGTGTTTATATGTGACTGTGTGCGAGAGAGTGTGTTTATGTGAGTGTGTGTGAGAGAGAGAGAGAGAGAGAGAGAGAGAGAGAGAGAGAGAGAGAGAGAGAGAGAGAGAGTGTGTGGGAGACAGAGATTTTTTTTATTTTCAAAACCCCTTTTATTACAATTTACATAACAATAACCAATATTACAAACTGCCAAACAACATCATTAATTTAAGACTAATACAAATCTTAAAAGAGAAAAAACAACTCTTCTTCAACAATTTCACAAAGGACCTTTTTTAAACACCATATTACCTCAAAGGATAAAATATCATGCATTAATCTGTAGTAATGCTAATCAATCAAAATCCTAGATTTTACCAATTTTACAAAAATTGCTACCAAACTGTTACAAACATTTTGCTCAATTTTCTCTTTTCTTGTGGTATACATCGCCACTTTTGCCTGACCCAACAAGAAATTTAACAATTGACACATATGACGATTTTTTTCACATATTTAAACCCACAAATAAACACTTTCATTGAGAAAACCACATCAAAAGAAGCAAAAAGTTTCCCTGAAGTAGGGAACGGAGGACATAGTCAACGTCGACTGAATGGGGATCACCCCAGGGAGCCAATCATCTTCGAGTACTATTGAATGAGCCAATGGGAATTGGCGTGCGTGATGACATCACACACTCCGCCCCCGCGGCGCGGGTATAAATACGGAAGTGGATGCACGCACTAGTAACTCCTCAAGCCCAGACGGCACTCCTGGCCATAGCTGTCGTGAGGCTCGTTGGCGGCACGAACAAGCTTCTGACTCTAAGGATGAGGTGACGGGCGAGTTGTGACATGCGAGGGAAGCTTAGCGCAACGGTCGCGATGTTGTCTTTTCAGACCAGTACCAGCTCGCTGAGCAGCGGTGGCT